TCCGTGAGCTGGGTTTTGTAGTCTCTGGGTCTTGGCCGTTGATGGGATTACACAGCGCCAGGGGGTCAGTTGGTGGGTGTGACCCGTGCCTACTGGAAGATGGAGGATCTTGGTGGAGGATGCTCAGGTCCGATCCGAGCAGGCTTGAAGATCTCAGCCCCGGGACCCGCATGCCTTTGTTCCTCTGCTGGTACCTTCATGCGTGTGGAGAGTGGTCTCAGCATGGTTCTAGCTGGTTCTGGAGGTCTTCGGCTGCCGGATCTCTGCTCGGGGCAGGGAGGGAAACTCAATCTGCCCCCCTCCAAGGGGCCCCGGCAAGGACAGCCAGGTGCGGGGGCAGGAGACTCTGCTCCAATATACACTCCTAGGATATAGATTCCCAAATACTGGGGTTCCAGATATGTTGCAGTCATGCTACTTTTCCGGAACCCAGCCACAGCCAGGCTTAAGACCACTCTCCACACACTTGGACAAGCCTCACACATGAAGAAACCGGCAGAGGAACCCAGGTGTGCAGTAGCCAGGGCTGAGATCTCCAAGCCTGCTTGAATTGGGTCTGGGCCTTCTCCACCCAGATCCCCCCATCTTCCAGTAGCTAGGAGTTACACCCACTAACTGACCCCAGAGCTGACCCCATCAACGGCCAAGACCCAGAGACTATACAACGAAGCTCCCGGACGCTTGTCTAATTCAAGTTTATCGTGTAGTTCTCCCTCTTGGAGAACCTAGCAGGTTACCACGAGTATCCTGCCCGCATGGTAGGGTCTGGCAAGCTCCCCGTGGCATATTTGATATACTAAAAGCCAGTAACAATGATGGGTCTCATTCCCCTAACCCTGGAAGAACCTCCAGTGTGGCACTTGCTAAAATCTCAGGGCTAGGACAAAAGGAGACGTTACTGATGCCTGCTCGAGGAAATCGATGAACAATGGGATGACAGTGATACATGATGCTACTTTTTAAAAAAAATTTTTATTAGTGAAACACCATGAGGTACAGTTGTGACTTAGAAATTTTTTTTTGCAGTTTGGTTTTTGCAATTTTTAAAAAAAATTTTATTAGTGAAACACCATGAGGTATAGTTGTAGACTTACAAATTTTTGTGCTTGGGTTTCAGTTATACAATGATCAAGTACCCATCCCTCCACCAGTGCCCATTTTCCAACACCACGGATCCCAGTATCCCTCCGACCCCCCCATCCCCCCATCCCACCCTGCCTCTGTGGCAGGGCATTCCCTCTCTCCTTTTGGGTGTTGTGGTTTGCAAAAGAGGCATTGAGTGGCAATCATGTTTGGTCTATAGTCTACTTTCAGCATGCTTCTCCCATCCTGGGAGGATCCTCCCAACACCCTTTATTTGGTGCTCCCTTATCTATCTGAGCTCCCTTTTCCCTAGCATGTGTGGCTGGCCTCCAAGCCATGGAGCAAAATTCCTGGTACTAATCTCGGCCACTCTTGGGTGTTAGTCTCCTATTTTGTTACTTTATGTTCCCCAGATGAATGCAATCTTTCTATGTCTATCCCTCTATTTCTGACTCATTTTGCTTAACATGATACTTTCCATGTAGTACCACTTGTATGTAAATTTCATGACTTCATCTTTTCTAACAGCGACATAGTACTCCATTATGTAAATGTACCAAAGTTTCTTTACCCAGTCATGTGTTCTCAGGCACTCAGGTTTTTTTCCAGATTCTGGCTATTGTAAAAAGTACTGTAATGAACAAACAAGTGCAGATGTCACTTCGACTATACTTTTTTGCCTCTCTGGGATATATTCCCGGGAGTGGTATTGCTGGGTCAAATGGGAGATCACTTTCTAATTTTTTGAGACTCAGCCATACTTTTTTCCAAAAGGGCTGAACCAGTCAGCATTCCCACCAGCAGTGAAGGAGGGTCCCTTTCTTGCCACATCTGCACCAGCATCGGTTGCTTTTGTTCTTTTGGATGTGGGCCAGTCTCTGTGGTGTGAAATGTTATCTCATTGTTGTTTTGATCTGCATCTCCCTGATGATTAATGATGTAGAGCATTTTCTCATGTGTCTTTTAGCCATTCGGATTTCTTCTTTGAGAAAGTTTCTGTTCATTTCATCACCCCATTTTTTGATGGGGTTGGATGTTTTCTTCTTGTGGAGTTCAACCAGTACCTAAATATATGGAATGCTTCACGAATTTGCGTGTCATCTGTGCGCAGGGGCCATGCTAATCTCTGTATCGTTCCAATTTTAGTATATGTGCTGCCGAAGCGAGCACAGTGATGCTATTTTTTAAGGATAAATGGGCCTGGGAGTCTGGCTGGGGTTTAATTCCCTGCATCACTGCATCCTAAGGCCCTACACTAAATTGCTGGTTGCTACCAGTTAGTCAAAGAATTGCTAGTGGGCCCCCCATTTCACCTCCTGGGCAATGCTTAGGAATGCGGTCCTCCTTCCCCCATCCCCAAAAAAGCCTAACAGAGAACTCTGATCTCCAGAGGAGTGAATATTTTGTAGACATATAATAAAGTTCTATTAAGTGTGCATTTTTTAAAGTTAGGTAAGACTTTATTTTCATGTTAAAAAAGAATCAGTTGAACAGACAGGAAAATGGCTCAAAGAGAAGGACCATGTGGGAGCTTTGCATGTGGAACACATGACCCCCCACACTTCATCCCACACCCTCTCCAGCCCCCAGCACTACTGGGAGCAACCCCGAGTCGTGTGCCAAGATTGCTCCAGCATAGCAGGTGAAGCAAAACCAAATATAACAAAAACATCAATTCATTTCCAGACCAATGTTAGGCAGATAATTTGGCAGTATTATTTGATTTTTGAGGCCTGAGAAAGAAGCACAGAACCCCAATACATGTGCCTCAACTCAAGACAGATCTCTGTGCTCACTCAGACATGAAATATACAGGGTCATGCTTGCAGTCTGATCCCCAATGAGGTCTAAAAATTCTAATTAAGGCAAATAGCCAACAGACCTGGTGAATCTTTACCCCATAATATCCGTTGTTTACCCATGTGAAACCACAATCTTTATTCTTAAAATTCATCCATTTGGTAGGATATGGAGGAGAAATAAATTATATAAAAATTAGGACAAGGTAAAAATTAGCTTAAAATTGAAGAAAATTCAAATGGTGGTCCACTGGACTGTCAAAATAGCCAGGGAGACAAATAGATGAGCAGGGAGATGTCTCCTAGGTCCTAAAAACTGTCAACCTTTAGATAAATATGGTCACGGTCCTCCTGTTGTTCATCGATTTGCTCGAGTGGGCCCAGTAATGTCTCCATCATGAGACTTGTTGTTATTGTGTTTGGCATATTGAATACGTCACGGGGAGCTTGCCAGGCTCTGCCGTGTGGGCGAGATACTCTCAGTAGCTTGCCGGGCTTTCCGAGGGGTGGAGGAATCGAATTCGGGTCGGCCATATTGGCTGCGTGCAAGGCAAATGCCTTACCACTGTGCTATCGCTCCAGCCCAGATAAATATAAATATGTATAAAGGTAAAAGGTAAAGGCCCTCCCGTTGATCATCGATTTGCTCGAGCGGGCCCAGTAACGTCTCCATTGGAGACTTTGTTGTTACTGTGTCTGGCATATCGAATGCTCTCGGTAGCTTGCCGGGCTCTCCGAAATATGTATAAATAAATAAATATGTATAAATAAATAAATATAAATATATATAAATACTCAGCTCCCGGGAGAGAACAAGGCAGAGTCTCCTACCCTCTGCCTGACTGTATCCACCAGGGCCCAACAGCTGAAGACCTCCGGGACCCAGCCAAGGCCATGCTGGGACCACTCTCCACACACTTGGATGAGCCTCACGCATTAAAAGAACTGGCAGAGGAACCCAGGTGTGTGGGACCCGGGGCTGAGATCTCCAAGCCTGCATGGTTTGGGACTGGACCTGCCAGTAACTAGACAGTTATACCCACCAACTGCCGTGTAACTCCAACAACGGCCAGGATCCAGAGATTATCACACTCAGCTCCCGGAAGCTTATCATCTTATCATCTCATTCCTACTTTGGACAAACTGGCAGGCTACCAAATGTAACCTGCCCACACGGCAGAGTCTGGCAAACTCCCCGTGGTATACCCAATATGCCAAATACCAGTAACAGTGATGGGTCTCATTCTCCTAACCCTGAAAAAGCCTTGAATATGGCACTTTTAAAAAAAATCTCAGGGCTAGGACGAGGAAGACGTTACTGGCACCTGCTCGAGGCAATCGACGAACAACAGGGTGGTCGTGATCGTAATATATATATGTATATGTATATATATGTGTATATATATAGATTTTGGGGCCACACCTGGCAGTGTTCAGAGCTTACTTAGTTCAGGGTGAGACTTGGGTGACCACATGGGGTCCTGGAGATCAAGCCGGGGTTTTGCTGTACTATTACTCTGGCACTGTCACTGTCACTGTCCTCCCGTTGTTCATCGATTTGCTCGAGCAGGCCCAGTAAGGTCTCCATTGTGACAATTGTTACTGTGTTTGGCATATTGAATAGAAAACTAATATTAAGATTTTTTCCCTTACTACTGGTTCTAAAACTTATGTCTTTCTTCAAGCTTTAAAGAGTAAGACAATGATGTAGAATGAGAGAAGTAATTTATTCAATGTATCCTGTTATTTCAGCTCCATTCATAATTATGTTATCTTGTTTTTTTAAAAAAATCTTGGCCTGGAGAGATAGTACAGTGGGTAGGGCACTTGCCTTGCATGTGGCTGACTGGGGTTTGATCCCAGTAACTTATATGCAGCTTGGCACTGCCAGGAGTAATTCCTGAGTACACAGCCAGTAGTAACCCAAGCATCGCAAGGTGTAGCCTCAAAACCAAACAGAAAAATGATTCATTTTGTTGTTTTACTTAGTATCAAGAAAAAATGGTCACATCTCAAAACCCCTATAGTTATTATTGAAAGCTTACATCCCTTATAAATATATATGTATATATGTACGTATGTTGTTTTTATAAGAACCACTCAAAACAATCTTAAAAGTTGCTCTTTTTGGTATTTAAAATCCTCCTTTTATTAAATATTCAGGAGTGCCACCGGTGGTGGCTTTAATGGAATTTTTCCTAGAGTAAACTTCTTGGACTGAAATTGTTCTAGTTCTTCTGATGTCAGCTGATCCTTGGGTGTGAATAATGCATTATCTGTTGTGGTGCTGCCGTTTGAGGCCAGGAGAGAGGAGGACATGTTGCTACTTCCAAAGCTGTCACTGGATGGTCTGGTAAAAGCAGAGTGAGACTGGGAGCCTGGACCACCAAAACCAGTCACAGAACTGTTGCTGCCAAAGGCCGGGGCCACTGGAGTGCTCATAGGACTTGTTGCCATGGAAGTTGGAAAGCCTGAAAATCCAGATGATCCAAAACTGGAAGCTTCAGAAGTTTTAAAAGAAAATGAAGCAGCAGATGGGACGTCAGGTTTCCCAAATCCAAAAGCTGGAGCAGGAGCAGGGATGGCTGAACTGGCAGAGGGTGCGGCTCCAAACGCTGATATACTCCCAAACACAGAAGCATTCCCAGAAGAGCCACTGCCAAATCCAGGGCTTGATTTAAAACTGAAATTGTGGACATTATTACTACTGCTATTATTTGCTGAAAAACCTATAAAAAACAGAAAAATAAAATCTGTTATAGTTAGAAAACAGTACTTCTTTCTTTTTTATTTCTGCCATGTTTGGATATTGAGAAGCTTGTTGGAAGGAAGAAGAGAAAAGTGAAAATGTGCAGTTTAAGCAAGCCCACTAAAACCTGCTCCACTCTGCTTGACACCTCATTTTCACAGTGACTTCGCTCAAGGAAGTGGCCTGGAGAAGTCATAAGGATTAGCAGTGGACTTTCCACTTTTGGCCTCCTCACCTTATCAGACTTGTTGGTAGAGGATGATACCTACTCTGTTATAACAATGACAAAAACATTTTTAAAATTCTAAAAATGTGCAGCTCTCACAGCTTTTTCTCTTTAATGGAATTCTTTTGAAAACCACTCCTACAATATACTTCTAAAGCTTAAGCTATAGAATCTTTCAAAAAAAATGCCCATTTATGGCCTTTATTCATTAATGCTTTATAAGCCAAAGTTTTTTTGCTGTGGTTTCCTGTTAAGAGTCATACCTGCGATGCTGGGGATAGAAGGACACATGGTGCTTAGGACTAAAACCCAGGGCCTATATATATGCTATATTTGTATACATATAGAAACATAGTATATATAGATATTGACTTATTAAGTTGTATACTTGAAACCTATATGTTACTAATGAATTGTGCATCAATAAAATATTAAACATTAAATGGCAGTTACGGTATCTTAATGACTTTATGACTTGGAAACCATAAAATTCCGTAAAGTCTTTCATTATTTCATCACTTACCTGATGATCCAAACACTGCTGTCTGCCTACTGCCAAATCCAAATGAAGAAGTAGCTTGACTTCCTCCATCAGAGAGCTATTAAAAAAATTATACAAAAAATAAAGTACTTGAAGACTTCACAAGTACCTTTCCATATACTTTATCACTGTCACTGTCCTTCCGTTGTTCATCGATTTGCTCGAGCGGGCCCAGTAATGTCTCCATCATGAGACTTGTTGTTACTGTGTTTGGCATACTGAATACATCACAGGTAGCTTGCCAGGCTTTGCCGTGCGGGCGAGATACTCTCGGTAGCTTGCCGGGCTTAGTATATACTTTATAGTTTATGAAAATTTAATTGTTTAACATTGAAAAATGCCAAGATGAATATGTCCACAACTCTAAATATTGAAAGTGACTCGCAATTTAAAAAAACACAACAATATATAAATTATGTTCCTGAAAATAATCTATCTTCTGGCTACTTCCTGTTCTAAAGAGGTGGTCATTTCTGTTTACTGAAATCTAATTTTTTCCCTTTTAAGAATTCATGTAATATTTTCAAAACTACTAGTATAAAAATTTTATCCTGAAATAGTTTCCAAAAAGCATAACAGAGAAAACAATTGCAGTATCTTTTTTCTAGATGATGATACAGTTCTCTGAGTATCACAATTGCTTTTCCCCCCATTTTTCTTGGTTCTGGGACCACTCAGGGATTGCCTGGTGGTAACTGGAAGACCACGAGGCAACTAGGCATGAACCCATGCAGCAGAGCACAGGTTCTCACCCTCTGATCCCATAATTCCTTTTTGTTTGTTTTATTTTAGGTTTCTGAGCCACACCTAGCAGTGCTCAGAGCTTAATCCTGGATCTGCACTCATGGATCATGCCTGATGATTCTCAGGGAACCATACAGGGCACTGGGGACTGAAACTTCATCAATCAATCAAAAATGGTGTGCAAGGAAGTGCCCTACCTGCTGTACTCTCTCTCTGGCATCTGATCCCATAATTCTCTCCGGCCTCTCCCCCACCCTCCAACCCCCACCCCAGCCCCAGTTGCCTATATCTTGTTTTCTTTTTTTCCCCAATATTTTTCAATTGAACAACTGTGAGATAGACCCTTACATAGCTGTTCGTGATTAGGTTTCAGTTATACAGTGTCCCAAGACCCATCCCTCCACCAGCGTACATTTCCCAGCACTAGTGTCCCCAGTCACCCCCTTATGGCAGACATATCTCTTTTCTCTCCCTCCTCCCTCTCTCTTCCCCTCCTTCCCTCCCTCCCTCCCTTGATCCCCCCTCTCCCTCCTTTTGTGGTCCCATAATTCTTTTTTTCTACTTTATTTATTTTCCTTTTTAAAAAAATTTTTTTGAATCACTGTGAGATACAGTTACAAAGCTTTCATGTTTGAGTTTCAGTCATACAATGATCCGAACACCCATCCCTCCACCAGTGCACATATTCTACCACCAATATCCCCAGTATCACCCACCATATCCCACCCTTTGCCCTGCTTCCATGACAGACAATTTCCCCCATATTCTCTCTCTACTTTTGGGCATTATGTGGTCCCGTAATCTTTTTTCTTTTTTAACTGTCCCATAATTCTTTACCAAAAATGTTACCTTTGCTTTTTAAATCCAAAGTGAAATTCTTTTCTTTTTTTTTTTAAATTTCAAACAATTGGCCAGAGAGACAGTTTATTTTTTTATTGATTTTTTTGCTTTTGAGGTCACACCCAGAGATGCTCAGAGGTTACTCCTGGCTCTGCAGTCAGGAATTATTCCTGTCAGTGCTTGGGAGATCATATGGGATGCCATGGATTGAACCCAGGTAGGCTGCATGCAAGGCCCTACCCTCTGTACGATTGCTCTGGCCCCTCCAAAGTGAAATTGTGTGCAAACAAACAACTAGAAGATAATTCTCTAAAGAAAACTTTCTATTACTCACCAAAGATATTTTAGTAGATGTATTCAGATTTTTTATTTCATTTATCCTGTTCCGCCACTGATTTATTAACTGCTGAACGGAATTTAGCTGAAAAAAGAAGACAAAAATAATTGTTTGCTTTAATTTATAACAACTCTTTTTGGTCTTTATTTGCAAAAGTACAAAAAGTTCATAAAACATTTTTTATGGTTCAAGAAAACAAGCAAAATTAAAAAGTAGGATTATATCAAATTACAAAGCTACTGTACAACAAAAGAAAGATGACTAGAATAAACTGACTAGGAGAAAATAGTTGCTTACCACACATCTGACAATGAACTAATATTCAAGAGCTATAAAACATTCACAAAACAAACAAATAAACAAACAAAACCCCTTAGTTGGAGGAAATAGCAAAGGATGCTTGCATTGCACTAGGATGACCTGGGTTCAATTCCCTGCACCCCAAATTGTCCCCCAAGGCCACCAGGAATGATCCCTGCATGCAGAAATCAGAGTAAGCCCTGGGCACCAGGAATGGCCTGAAACAAAACAAAAGACACCAAAAACAAATAAATAACAAAAGAACTCTGACAAAAAAATAGAAAAAAGTGCTTAATAGACATATCCTCAAAGGAAACATACAGATAGCCAATTGGTAAGTAAAAAGTGCTCTTTATCAGTTATCATCAGAGAAATTTAAATAAGTAGGTTGAGGTATGAGCTATCACCTCACACTTTTGAGAATGGCACATAACAAAAGAAGTAGAAGTAACAAGTGCTGGTGGGAATGTAGGAAGAAAGGAACCTGTACACACTATTGGTGAGAGTGCCGTCTGGCTCAGCTCCATGAAAACAGTATAGAAACTTCTCAAAAAATGAAGAATAGAGCTTCCATATTACCTGGCGATTCCACTTCTTGGTACCTATCCCAGGAATCCCAAACCAGTATTTGTGTTGTATGTTCACTGTAGCACTATTAATGATAGCCAAGGTCTGGAAACAACCCAAATGCCCAAGAACAGATGAACGGATCAAGAAACTGGTATATCACACAATGGTGTAATACTTGGCCCTAAGAAAAAAATGAAACCCTACAATTTACTGCTATGTAGATGAAACTAGAAATACTACACCAAGTGATGTCAGTAAGAAGGAGAGGGACAGACAGAGAATGATCTCTTTCATATGTGGAATGTAAAAGAACACAGCAAGGGAATTAAAAATGGTCAATGGTAGCAGAGCCGGAAAGTAGGGCTGAAAAACTGAGTTTGTCAGGGGTTGGGGTGGGGAAAATGAGAGAGAACTTGGGGAAATTGATGGAGGGATGCTGTAATTGTGGGGGTGGGTGGTGTTAAAACACTAGATGCCTGAAACACTACGATTAACAGTATTGTAAATCATGATGCCCGAATAAAAAAGTGAAAGAAAAAACATTTTCATGGTCCCAACTTGTAAAATTTGCATCAACTTGCCTCTGTTTCCCAAAGATAATCCAGCTATGTCCCCTCTCCCTTTCTCTAACTCCATGTGTACCTGGTTAAAAAATCCTTAGTACCTGGCAGCAGAGTGCTGGTTAAATTTGGATTAATAGCAAGCATGCATTAGCAGAAATGTATGACCATGACTATAGATACCAGAAAAAGCACAGTTTTTATCTTTCCTTTAAGTATCTAAATTGCAGTATGAGGATGTTCATCTGTGCAATAGTCTATATTGTACTTAACTTTGCACTCATGGTGTCTACACCACCTAAGAGTTACTATTTAAAGGTCCGTCAAATGTAAAATTGCTTTCTGGAGTTGATTATGGTTAATTCATAATAAAAATAGTGCTATTCTTAGTTACTACAGTGAAAATGTATCATCATTTTAGATAACCAATTCATTTTCAAATAAAATAATTTACAAAATAAAACATCGTCGTAAAAACTCATCACCCTCATTCACTTTGTGAACATAATAAGAAAATCACTACTAACCAAGAAAGCAGGGATTAATGGCTAATCTGTTATGGATAGAGGAATAGAAAATAAACTTACATAACTCTGTAAGTTATTGCTTCTTAAGAAGTTATGATATTCAAGTCTCAATTCCTCTGGTGAAATGTCTGTAAAACCTGAAGTGAGGAATCAATTGGAATCTTTAAAATAAATGCCAATACTTTTGATATTATCTTAAAGCTAGAGGTGCTGCAAGAAAATATGCTAATATTTATCATTAAAGAAATTTTACACTCAAAAAAAATCCAAAGCCTATACTCTCTTTCATGTTTAATAAAACATAAAATAAGAGTATGGTTCACTACAGAACGGGAATATTCTAAAAGAATGGGAGAGGAAGAAATAAAGAAAGGAAAAGAGTGACTAACTGTTGGGGCCACTCGGCAACTAAGAGATATCTATATAGGAGCCAGAGAGATTGCTCAGTGGGTAAGATGCTTGCCTTGTACTTGGCTGACCTGGGTTGATCCTCAGCATCTCATATGATTCCCTGAGCACTTCCAGGAGTGATCCCTGAGTGCAGAGCCAGGAGTAACCCTTGAGCAATGTCTGGGTGTGGGCCAAAAACCAAACAAATTAAAAAAAAGAAAAAATAAACTACAATAAGCAAAATTAAAAGGAAAAAGCAACTGTAATATATATGACAGAAAAGAGCTAATATCAATCCAGTCCTTATATTTCACTAAGAAAAGTAAGTTAACATAAGCAAAGAAAAATTGGAAATTCCCCCAAATTAAAAATATCTAGTAAATAAATGAAAATTAAATATTATATTAAAATACTATTAAAAATAGAAAATACTTTAGACTGGCAAAAATTAAACAATAATAATATTTATCATTATTAAAGATGTAGCCAGATGTATATTTTCCTAAATTACTATTAAGGGAGTAAAGGGGTTGGAGAGATAGTACAGCAGGTAAGGCACTTGCCTTGCATGCAGCTGACCTGGGTTCAATCCCTGGCACCCCAAAAGGTCCCCTGTGCACAGCCAGGAGTAAGCCTTGAGCATTGCCTGATACGTCACAAATACAAAAACAAAAAAGGTAGTAAAAATGGCACAATTTTTCTGGGAAGAAAATTACCAATAGGCATCAAACGCCTTAAAAAATGTTCACATCAGAGGCTACGGAGAGACTACAGTAGGTGAGGCATTCGTCTTGCACATGGCTGACCCTGTTCAATCCCAGTACCGCATATGGTCCCCAGGACAGAGCCAAGAATGATCACTGAGCTCAGAGCCTGGAGTAAGGTTGAGTAAACATGAATAAACCGAGTAAGCCCCCACAGCTGAGTAAGCCCCCAAACAAACAAAAACTAAACAGAAAGTTCCCATCCAGGCCAAGGAGAGGGCTCCAAGGCAAAGAGCTTTGCATGGTCCTCCAAACACAGCTGGGAGTTGGCTCCTGAGCACTGAGCAGGAGCAGCCCACAAGCATACAATTAGAAAAGTTTTTTAAGAAAGGGAAAAAAAAGTTCATGATTATTTTCTATAAAGAATTACTTGTAACCAGATTATCAGAATTTGTCAGCCAGGTCACAGTATCCTGAAAAGCTCTCCTATTATGCAGAAAGAAAATGGCAAATGTTCATATCAGAACACTGGAATACCTCTAACAACTATCTTTACCATCTTTACTGATTGACCAAATGTAAAAACCTGGAAATCATCTTGTATTTCTCTTTCCCCTTACCTAATTAATCAGCATCCTGCCAATTCTAGCTTCAAAACAAAAACAAGTTTGGCGAATTCTGTCTCCAATGCCGGTAACTCTAGCAGTGGTTAGAAGACAGTCAATAGCAATGGTTCCCTAAGCAAACTCCTATTTTGATTCCTATAGGAGATTATATTACTCTGATTCAAAATTCTTCAAAGCTACACATTGTATTATGCCCAAAATGATCTGGTCCCTAGCTGCTTCTCTGGCACAATGTTGTATTTTTCTTTCCCTATTTTCCTTCAGTGACTCAGGACTCACTAGTCTGCAAACAAGCTAATAACCTTGTTCCTCCCAGGGTGTCTGAACAAGGTATTTCTATTGCCAAAAAAGTGTTTCCTTGAATCTTCCCATTACTGACAACTTCTATGGAAAAGAACACTGCTCCCTAGTTGCTTTCTCTTTCTACCAGTTAGGTTCAACTGGGGTTCCTTATCTGAACCAGAGAATATAGAAAATGATGAGTGACTATTTTTCTTTTTTTGAGGGTGGGGGTGCCCACACCTGGTGGTGCTAAGGGCTTATTACTGGCTATGTACTCAAGGGTCAATTATTCCTGGCTCAAGGGACCATATGGGTTGCGGGTATTGAACCTGGGTTGGTTGCGTGCAATGCTTTATCTTCTATACTACCGCTCCAGCCACAAAGCTTAAGTTATCTTTGACAACAAACACTTTCAATGGTTTCCTTTGAAGTGACACACTGTCAATGGGCTGGGGAGAAGTCTCAGTGGGCTGAAGTGCTTGCTTCACATGCGGGTGCCATGGGTTCCATACCTGTACCCATATTCTCCTAAGAACCACTCTGGGAATAGCACCACTGGGTTTGGGCAAAAAACCCCAATCAAATAAGCAAAACCTCAAACCAAAACAAAAAGTAAATATCTGCCAAATGCCTAAGTTTAAATATAGCCATAATTGTCAATAACGTCTTCAAATATAAATGTTCTGTGGAAAAACAGCTAGTTCAGCGAACAGCTCAATGGTCATTCCTTTTTGCCTCGCCGAGCCAGGTTCGATTCCTCCACCCCTCTCGGACAGCCCGGCAAGCTACCGGGAGTATCTCGCCCACACGGCAGAGCCTGGTAAGCTACTCGTGACGTATTCGATATGCCAAACACTGTAACAAGTCTCAAAAAAAAAAAAATAGAGATCTTACTGGGCCTGCTCGAGCAAATCGATGAATAATGGAGGACAGTGCTACAGTGCTACAGCACTTAGAATAAGGTTGGGTACAAAAAAATTTAATAGATATTTCTTGAATGAATGTGAATACATAACAAAGAAGTGGTACCATACAAATGCTCACAGGCTAGGCAGGTGGAAACCTGAGAGTTCTAAGGGAACTGCTAGGTACATGCCCTTTTACTTAACAGGGACCCAAGACTATCCAGAATGAACTTGGAAAAGCATAGCAATCTGAAGCTTCAGCCCAGAAATGCTGTTGGGACTGTGCACACAGGAAAATGGGAAGAAACTGAGTATCCTCGGGAAATGTTATCCTAAGACTCCTTATCTTCAAACATTATCTCCAAGGATAGTTCTCAACATGCCTATGAAAAAGAACTATTCTTAGAAGATGGAAGGGAAAGAGAAGAGAAGAGAACAGAATCAGATCGTAATGGCAGGTAGGATGCGACTCTTCTATTCACTGCAGGCAGCTAAGAAGTTCTGAAATTATACATGTAGGAAATTTGAGAGTGCAGAGTTTCTTCCTGAGATTACAGAATTGATAGGTTGGTGGTGCAAATTGGACTACATTCTCATGATAACAATGTTATCTTAGAAAACCTTCCAACCTTAGCCTGAATTATAAGGTCTTACTAGAATATTTGTCCAAATTTTAACTGATACGAATTTTAACTGATATGAATTTGTGGTTAATTTCTCTACTTGGCATTGTCTTGGTTTTAGAATAGTTTTTAGAAACATTAGTTTTTAAAACATTTTAAAAACATTAATTTCTCAATTACCTGAAATATTAGGTTTCTTTTTCACTGGTGAGTAAACTGAAAACATCCACTGCCCTGATGACTCCCAAATCTCCATATCTTTAATAATTCCTTCCCTGGGGGGAAAAAGGATATTTTTCATCTGCTGGCCAAATTTAATCATTTATAATTTTCATCACTAAAAAGAAAGTTTTTTACTTTGGTTTTTTGGGCCACACTCGATAGCTAGCACTCAGGGTTTACTCCTGACTCTATGCCCAGGGATCTCTCCTGGCAATGCTCAGGGTCCTGTGGAATGATCTTTGGTCAGCAATGTGCAAGATAAGCACCTTAACCACTACACTCTACATTTTCTGAAGAATCTTGGTTCCTCATTTTTTGGGTTTCGGGTCAGACCCAGTGGTGCTCAAAAGGTAATTCCTGATGAAGTGTTCAGGATTGAACCAGGAACTTCCACAAGTACCCCAGCCCTTTGAACCATCTCCCACGACACAAAAGAATGTTCTTTAAATTCACAGGAACTTGTAGAAATAAATATATAAGTATTTCATGACTAGAGATAGTATTATAACACTAAAGAAGCTCATAAGTTTAGTTTTTTTATACACTGAACCATTTATTGAGAAATATTAACCATTTTATAATTAAAGAATATATAATAAGGGATATAGTATAGTAAAAATATATAGTAAGGAATCCAATACCAATTTTTTATCTGCCTTTGTCCATTAACATCAATGGGAAAGAAAGTACCATGTAAGTAATATAGAACCATAAAAAATTTTAAGTGGGTAGGATGAAAGAGATAATTGTCAAATTCTCACATTTTGTACGAAAGGGAAAGGAACCAATGTCAACACAGTTATTATACTGGGAAAACCATGGGTACATTGGCTCTAAATTAAATATTCCCCTATCCAAAATGGTGCAATTAGTAAAACTGATAGCTACTACAGAAAATATTGTATAGAATTTTAGGACTTTTACAGAATATCAAATACAGGAATGATAGTTTCATTTGTACTTTCCTTTTCTCTCTTCTCCTCCTTTTTTGGGGAGGAGGGGGAGCTACACTAGAACCCAGGGCCTCTTACAGGTAAGGCTTATACTCTTTCTACCACTGAGACACATCCTGGTCATTTCCCCCCTTCTTTTAAAAATCAGCTGCATACGATACAGGGCTCAAAATATTTACCTGTGGTTATATTTAGTCACAGGAATAAAACTCTAGTAGAATACTATCCTAAGCAGGGAGCCGAGGGAACTGTTATAATTAGGCACTGCATTGGCAAAAATCATAATTCTACCATGAATGTTCTCAGTCATGAATCTACTCTATAGTAATAAATGAATCTACTCTATAGTAATAAAATAAACTGGAATCCAGGTGAATAACTAAAGATTTCAGAAAGAAAACGACAAGATTTTGTGATGACCTCTAAGATAAAAAATTGTTTTAAATTATCTTATGTTTTGTAAAGAATTTATAACTTATAACAAATGACAGCAGGCCTGCGACATTCATAATACTGAATGATTTTTAAAAAATGGAAAAAGCATAGTTATCTCCTAAGAAGATACTGAAATGACATACCTAGATAATGTATTTTAAGCAAAATAAAATCCAGTATTTATATATGCAAAGTACTGATTATCTCTGAGATCACTGGTAATTTTTCTTTCTGCTTATATCGATTCTTCAATAATATAAAACATTGTTGGTGCTTTTGGAAAAAAACAAAATGACAGAAATGTCTTTGAAGGCTTTCACTTACAGAATCTTCTTCTCATCTTTCTGCTCATCGGAGTTAAGAGAATTAAATGGGTTCTGAGACAATCCAAAATCCCTGTTCCTGCTGGCTGAACCGCCAGAATCAAAGGAACCAAAAGATGACTTTTCTTGATCTCTGCTGCCACCCCATGGTGAGGATCTGGAGAAACTGGATGGCTGGATGACACTGGAGTACCTCTGGCTGCTGCTGTTCCAGCCCCGTCCTTAAATAAATAAGATAAAACAACAATTTTACTGGAAACTGAAAATCTCTTACTATGGGAAGGCATTATGCAAGAAGTCTAAAAAAAAAGAGGAGCATATTAAAGAGTTTGCTGATCATGACAGATTTAGATTTTATTCTGTCCTTTAAAGACACTTGCTTAGGAATATTTGACTTAAGCCTTTCCTCAGGAAAAACTACCCACCTATTTTTCACAGGGAGACTCTAGAGAGACTCTATATGCTAATAAAATACACTGCGGTCCTCCACGGTTTTTGAGTTATTTCTAATATTTCTGAAATACCGAATAAACCAACAGGATTCACATAGGGGTTAAATTCCAATCACATGGAAACCTATTAGCTGTGTCTCTGTTTTGGGGTCAAGGTGCTGCGGGGAGTCGTACATGTGAAGCATGTGTTCTACCATTCAGCTACAAACCTCGCCCCTCTGTCTTTTACGTTCAAAAAACCAAACCAATCCCCAAACCCAAATTTATCACTGCAGCAACACTTCCTAGTCGGAGGGAGCCAAGGCATTTCACCTTGTTTTCTGCTTAAATCAGGAGAAGACATGCCACTGCATAAACTAAAAACTGGAGTGACGGGAGCTATCCTTGGTGAGGATTCACCTCGCAATGCGAACACGTGAGAATAAAGCACTTAGGGGAAACACCGCCTCCTCCAGGGAGAGGTATCTGCCGCGAAACCAGAGCGCGAGGCAGTGTTGAAGGGACTGAAGAGAATAAGGGGCGGGGAAGAGCGGAGATAGGGTCAGGGCGGGGAAGAGTCAGTATCTGCGATTCCCATAGGGGTTAAATTCCAATCTCACGGAAACCTAATTTATCCAATCCGATCTTTTAACCCTCGGGGATTCCACGGCTTCATAGTATCGGACGGCCGCTTCGGCCACAGTCGGTTCAGTGAGATATTCCGAAAGCTTCGTGTACAGGGGTTAGGCCAGCGCAGCCCCTGCCACCCCATCCCACCGAGTCCAGCGTTCCTAACTGGGCGTCCCCAGGCTCCCGGGACTAGGCGGTAACATTTACTCCCCAAGTCAGGGACTGCTGACCACAGGGCGGCAGGACGGCCCGGGAGCTTCCGCCACACTTGGAAAGGTGTCCAGACTCTGACCCCGTTAGCTAGTCCCACCCTCGGTGGGTGGGGAGAGAAGTTTCGCGAATTCCATTCACGGCGTCCAGGGAAAGACCAGAAACCACGAATCCGAGGGCCCGGAAGCGCCGTGGCGCAAGGTGCTGGGTGTCCCCGGACGCCCCGCGGCCCTGGGGCCCCTGAAATCCACCAGGGGGACCACGGCACGCCCCGCCACGCCGCGGAGCTTCCTCTGGCGCTCCTCCAAGCTCCCTGGCTCGGGAGGTGGCGCGTCACAGGCCCCGTCGCGCCGGCGACAGACCCCACGCGCGAGGCCGTTGGCCGCCGGCCGGGGCCATCTCCCCACCCGGGCCAAGCCAGAGAGACGCGGCGGCGAAGGGACCATCACCTGAGGACTGTTGCTGCCGTCCCCCGCCCGCCCCCCTGGCGCCGGGATGTTCGTTCCAGCACCGGTCTCCAAAGCGGCACCGGCCCTGAAGGAAGAACTGACAAACGGTCATCGCGAAGGTGTCGGCCACAGAGCGGCTCTTCCGGCGGCAGCGCGGGCCAGCAGCCCGCAGAGCACTCCGTCTCCCCGGGCCCGCCCCGTGACGTCATCCGCGCGCGCCCGACGGCGGGTCTTTCTCGCGCTCATCCCGCCCCTCGGGCTATGAGAGGCGTGGGTTGCGCCCAATCAGAGGTGAGGTGAGCAGACTCCCGCGCCCCGGGCGGGTTGCTTAGAAGGCGCGAGGCTTGAAGTTTCTGCAGAAAGAGGCACGTGCGATGGGCCGCCGACCGCAAAGGGGGCTCGAGGTCCAAAATGAGAGAAAAGAAATCCATGTGTAATAACTGCATTCATCACAACGAGGGACAAATCAATGAATCACATTGTTAAACAGTATAAGGAGATTGCAATCTAATAGTATGTGAAAGAGACCTGTCTTTGAAGTACATTAACGGTCTGAGAAACCTTGTACTTTAAAAGTTCCTTTGAATGTGGCTATTTGAAATAAACCAAAAAGAATGAGACATTTCACTCCTGCCTGGCAAATCTAAGTCACTGCTTTTGTTTCGTTTTGGGGCCACACCTGGCCATGCTCAAGGATTACTCCCGGCCTTGCACTCGGGAATTATTCCTGGCGTTGCTCAGGGGACCATACAGGATGCCCATAGTTGAACCTTGGTGGACCATGTGCAAGGCAAGTTATACTATGACTCTGGCCCCTCTTAGTCACTACTTTTGACATACAGAAAGGAGTCTTGATTTCTATCCACATGCAGATTCATTCAGATCATGAATTCCTGAAAAGATAGCTCCATATATATTTTTTTTCCTCTGTAGCTTCCATGATCCTAGGTTCACTTCGCAGTTCAGATCTGGTATCCTTTACACTCAGTTCTGTGTTGCTTTAAGCATATCTAAACCATTTTATTGTTTTGGGGGACACACCCAGTGGAACTGAGGATAGGAGTGGATGGACCTTGTGGAGACCAGGATGAAGTCCTTGCTCCCACATGCAGGCTGGCACAGCTGAAGCCCTTTGTATCATCTCTTATGACCCAGACCCTTTTAATTTAAATTTAACCTAAATTCTGCTCCCCTAATCCTGTTACCTTTGTGTGATGAGACACTCCACAGTTAGTCAAATGAACTGACTTGGTTGCAAGAAGTCAATCTGATTTTGTTGAATGATAAATTTGTCCCTGATGATAATTGCTTGATTGCCCGTTGTTCTTGTTCAAGTACTTTAGATTTTGAGGACAGCAGTATCTACTGGAATAATTGATAAGGACTTCTTAAAAAAAAGTTTAACACATTTATTCTGAAGTCTGTTGAAAAGTCACTAGAATAAAAAATCTTCTTGAACCACTTGAGACTATATGGCATACCTGCACTGTACTGCTCTGCACTCACTGTTCTCCCGTTGTTCATTGATTTGCTTGAGCGGGCCCAGCAACGTCTCCATTGTGAGACTTGTTTTTACTGTGTTTGGTATATGGAATACGTCACAGGTAGCTTGACAGGCTTTGCCATGCGGACCAGATACTCTCGGTAGCTTTCTGGGCTCTCTGAGAGGGGCGAAGGAATCGAACCTGGGTCAGCCGTGTCAGCCAAACGTGCAAGGCAAACACTCTACCCGCTGTCCTGTAAGTAAGGGCAATTCTCCAAAATATTCTCCTTATTAACAATACAATCGCCAAAACAAATACGGGTACATTACTATTTAGCCCGTTAGATTCCATTTATCTATTTATTTCACCAAATGTTCCAATAATGCCCTTTGAATAATTCTGATACAGACAGGTGGAGTGCCAGGTGAATTGTCATTTTAATCTTACCCCTGGGACAGGTAGCCAATTAGAATAGATAATGGGATGGCTGGAGGTGGGATATAGCAGTGGGTAAAAGGAAGCTCCCAGCCCAACTTGCTCTGCTATCTCTCCTTTCTCCCTTTCTGACCTACTCTCTCTTGCTCTCTCTCTGCAGGTTCAGGGCTGTGCACCCAGACTGATGGCACTGATGACTGAGTACAGGCAGGTCTCATAGACCCAGACAGGGGCAGAATACAAGCAGGATGCTCAGGTACAGAGCACGGGGAGCTTGCCCACACATATGTGGCTATGGCCAGAGACTGAGGAAAGCCTACATGGAATAGAAAGCAATGCAGGAATGGGACATGATCACTTATCTTGGGAGGCGAGTAGGCTGTGTGGGACCAGACAGGGAGGTCATTCACAGGTCAGGGAAATTACAGGGACAGGACTAGTTATGTTGTTCATGAGTAAAGGAGAGGCCTGGATATCTGGGGAAGGGACCTGGACCCATCTACTTTAACTGCCCAATAAACTTTTAATCTTGTGAGTTTCATATGCAAGTCTTTCATACAATTTTTTTTTTAACTTCAGCCATTAATTGATTTGTTATGAGCCAGGCTAAAGTACTTTTGTATGTTTTATATTTATTATTTAAAAAATTTTTTTATTGGTGAGTCACTGTGAGGTACAGTTACAGACTTACAAACTTTCGTGCTTGTGTTTCAGTCATACAATGCTTGAGTACCCATCCCTCCACCAGTGCCCATTCTTCACCACCAATGATCCCAGTATTCCTTCCACCTCCCCACCCCACTCCATCCCTCCCCTGCCCCAACCCACCTCTGTGGCAGGGCATTCCCTTTTGCTCTCTCTCTCCTTTTGGGTATTGTGGTTTGCAATAGAGGTGTTGAATACAATTCTTAAGAATTCACCAGAGCAGGAAAATCTGCTTTTACGCTAACTGTTCTGAATTAGAAGAGGATCTAGTTCAGGCTTTACTCCCATTTTCCTTTTCTCCTTCAACCTGGAACAGTTCCTATCTTGACTATGATATCATGCAATATTTAATAGTGTCATTCTTAAACAGCAAATAATACAAGTTACTTATTTTATACGACTTCCTCAGTTCTGGTTTATCTGATGCTTTCTCATGATTGGATCCAAATTATATACCTTTGACAAATTATAGGAACGATACTGTGGCTTCTGCAGTACACTTCCCTGTGTGCACGATTTCCACTTCACCCACTACCTGTTCTCATGCTTGCTTGATCATGCCACGCGTTGCTCCACTGTAAAATTCTTTCTTCCTCTTTATAAATTTATTAGGATATATTTTATTTATTTTAGGTTTGGGGCCACACTCAGCGATGTTCAGGGCTTACTCCTGGCTCTGTGCTCAGGAAGTATTTGGGGGGGGGGGGAATGAGGGAACTATATGGGATGCCAGGGACTGAACTCTGTTGGGTTGGAACTCAGGGTAAAAGGGACCCAAAAACTGTTAGTGAGCACTTACAAGCAGGGCTCATGAAACCAATCACCTGGAGATTTTCTCATCCTGTTAGAATTCCTGGAACTTGCAAAGAAGCGCCTGTCTGGGAATACCCTGTTCAGAAGCTCTTAGTCCCTCTTTCTATTCCTACCCCTTTCCCACAGCAAACTGCCCTATAAGATGCCCAAGCAGCCCCCATTGGGAGCGACTTCACTGGCCTCTTTAGGTGAACCTCACTCAGAAGCACCCTTTCCTTCTTCCAATAACCCCCATTTCAGTCAGAGTCTCCTTTTGGTCTCTGTTTCTTCCTCTCTGCAAACTCGCTCCCAGTCCTTTCATCTTGGTATTGAAACCCAGGGAAAAGGATCTGGTGGCCAGGACAATCCTCGTCCTTGATCCAGGTTTACAAGGGAAGCAGTGGGCAGTGGCAGCTCTTTTTGGGCTTACTCCTGGACTCTACCTGGGCTCTTGGATCAGGGTCAATTGGCTGGTCCTGTGAGCTCGTTCCGAACTTAGGTCTGGAATGGTCTGTCTCTTCTACAATGAACCTTCATCCTAACCTTACAGACGCCTCACACACACCATATTTTGGCTTTAGGTAAAGTCCATTACTGCTGACGTTTCCTTTGGTCCTTGTCCTTCCATTCAGACACACTGTCCGTAAACTGTGAGCTCGTATCAGGGTTATCCCTGTGGCGCTCAGATTCATCGAAGAGCATTTGCCATTTCTGTCTTCCCTGCTGGGACTTCAAACCTCCCCCATCTGGGTTATGGAAGGATTGGGAGACATTCCTCCTTACCATTTTGTGGCCTCCCTTAAGGCCTTCAACTTGGTCCCAGACATTCGACCCAAAAGCTTTATCCATTACTGCAACATCATTTGGCCTCAATACCCACTGAGCGAGGGTATACACTGGCCCCAAAATGGGACTCAGATCATTCCACATTAACCAGCTTAAAGACACACTGTTTTAAGTCATGATAAATGGATGAAAACCCCTATGTTCAGACTTCCTTTGTGCTCCCACCCCACTAACCCTGCTCAAACCTTGTCATACTTCCCAAATTCTCCCTTGCTCATGACACCCCTCAGACACTCCTCCTGACACTGCTGACTCTCGTGGATGACTCAGGCCCCCTGGACCTATTCTCTCCTCCTGTTTCACCACTGCCATCTGCTCTTCCCTTCAGCCTGCTCCGCTGCTCACCCACCTTCTCCCATCACCTCCTCTGCTGCCTACTCCATATGCCGAGGAGCTCGAGTGAGTCCTCCAAACATCTTTTACTTGGTGTTCCCTTCTCTATCTGATCTGCCTTTTCCCCCAGCATGTGCTGCAAGCTTCCAAGCCGTGGAGCAGACCTCCTGGTACTTCTCTCAACTATTCTTGGGTGTTTGACTCCCATTCTGTTACTTTATATTCCCCAGATGAGTGCAGTCTTTCTATGTCTGCCCCTCTCTTTCTGGCTCATTTCACTTAGTATGGTACTTTCCATGTAGAACCACTTGTATGTAAATTTCATGACTTCATCTTTTCTAACAGCTGCATAAACCTCTGGGATATTTTAAATCTTTCTTTACTATCCCTCAAGCAGCACTAAAACAGCCTCTCCCTATATATACTAGTTTAATGAGAAATTAGGCTGTTTTATAAATAGCAGTTTCAGAAAACAAAGCTCCATTTATCACTCCACCTGAAAAGAGCGTCCGGCTTTGAAAATTTATTGCCTACTTCTCATAACAGATTGAAGGAAAAAAAAGAGGTTGTTTAAAAACTTAGCCACAGCTGCAGAGATGCTTTAACTTTAGTGGTTTCTAAAGTAGAGAATTGACAAAATATGTGGTAAATAACTGTAACCCCAGATTATTAGTCTACCCACAAGGAAGCGCATGCTATTGTTAAGTATTAATTATTTCATGTCACTCTTGTCACCAGATCTCAAACCTAGTTATGGCCTTAAGAGAGCTTTATCCACAAGTGTGAATTCCTTGCCTATTTCATGACAATTTATGTGTTTTAACCCTATAACGTTTCTGCATTTTTCCTAGAAAATAATGTTTTAGGAATTAAACTCTTAAAGACAAGTATGTTCTGATTAATTCATATGTGAAGCAAGCTTTCCTGCCAAGTGTAGTATGTATTGTAAGATCTTTAAAGCCTTTTGAATATCTCTAGAACTGTAATGTTTTTATTCAGAGACATCTGTGGCAAGACTTTAATAACTACTTCAGAGCACAATTTGGTCACTCTAAATGAGGCAATGATTCTCAGTGTTTCCAAATTTCTTGAAACTCAAGCTGTACTCAGTTCAGTGAGATAAGAAAGTTAAAACATGTAAGATGTGACTATAAGGAGTAAAGATGTATATTTTAGTAAGAGAGATAATGGATGGAGATATCATCAGTGGGAAAAGAAGTAATCCTATTAAAGTGAAGCTGGTTTTGACAGAAGAGAATGAAAGTAAAGGAATGTATAGAAGGTTTAAGGATGTGTTTTAAGGGAATAAACATGATCAAATTGGGTTGTTAGAAGTAGATCTTTAAATTCTATCTGCAGATTGTTCTAATACATTTTTTGGCAAGATCTATGGAAAAGATATTAGACGATGGTCCAGTCTCATGTTACAGTGCTCTTAGGCAATTGGACACTTAAAAAAATATTACAGGAAATCAAGGTTTCCAACATGGGACTAAATGAATCTAACATGATGTTGTTAACTGTGTGCTCTGCCTCCACAGATCTGCTTCTTTCGACTAGGGTCTACAGCAAAAGATTATACTGCATCTCATTGTGAGTAAAGTGAATTATTTCCTTTTCTCTCTTGGCATCTTTAGTACATTTTTGATGCTTCCGGCCACTATGTTGATTTGCATAAGTTCAGTAAGGAAATCTTTCCTCTTGGCAGTAGGGCCTACCCCTCAGACAAATAGGAAACTCCAAAGCCATCTATGGGACCCCATCTATGGGACCTCTTCCAGGGAAACAAAGTCAGAGGGATTGGTTTAAATCACAAGAACAGGCCCAGTAATAACAGGTGCCCTACAAAGCTCAGGGAGACCCTAGAGGTAGGCTGAATCAAAGAACTGGAAATTGTCTCTGCTAAGGAAAATGAGAAATCTGCATATCTGCAATGACTGATCACAGCCCCTGCTCTCAGTGTCAAGAAAAACATGAAAACTGGGGGTCTCTTCCAGTCTGGAAAGGAATGGGATGGACTCCTGCCTGCCAGAACACTGCTACAGAGGGTGAGAGGCCCGAGGCCACCTCTAGCTCATCATGCCGACCTGATCTTCACTTTTTCACAACGGCCAAGTCTGGGTAGTCCTGATGTAGCAGGCAGAAATTAATGCCGTTATTGGTATGTCTCCTACTCTGTCCTAGGCCAATTCCTAAGGCCTCCCCAATAAATAACAAGGTACCCTAAAAGGAGAATTGTGCAATCTTGCTGTATTTATGTAAATGAACAAACCAGGTTTATTAAGCCATTTGGCAAATTTAAAATGAAGATGGAGAGAAAACTATGTAATTTGTCTTTGGTAGAAATTAGATTCTAGTTCTGTAGAGTGATTACATAAAATGTATTCTGATGAGTTTGATTAAAACTGGGTTTACAGGGGCTGGAGTGATAGCACAGTGGGTAGGGCGTTTGCCTTGCACGTGGCTGACCCAGGTTCGATTCCCAGCATCCCATATGGTTCCCTGAGCACCAGCAGGAGTAATTCCTGAGTGTAGAGCCAAAGTAACCCCTGAGCATCACCAGGTGTGACCCAAAAAGAAAAAAACAAAACAAAACTGGGTATACAGTTCCTAGTAAGCAAACCTGCCTATTGGTGACACTGCAGATTAGGTGAAGAAGATCTTGGCCATGGAGCTGTGTGATTTGGAGAACGATGGAATCCCTGTTTGAAGGGAAGCATTAGAATCAAACAGGTCTGTTTACGTCTGTGGTAGCAGATGCACAGGACTGGGAAGAGGTGATACTGGTTTCTTGGCAAATGTGCTACAGTTGCTGTACTTTCTGTTTCCCTCTGAGGGATCCTCCTAGAACAATTCTCCTGAGCTCCTGCTGCAGAGCTATGGTGTCTCATGGTACTTGATATCATCTTTGATGAATAAACATCAGAGTTTTGGGGGAGTCATTGGAGTGGATGGGGCTCTTGCTTGCACACAGCAACCCAGATTTGATCACTGACATCCCATATGGCCTCTTGAGCATCACCAGGAGTGATCTCTGAGCACAAGGCCAGGAGTAAGCCTTGAGAACAGCTGAATGAGGCCCAAAGAACAAAACAAATTATTGATTCTGTTTAATTGTTATTTTTCAGATCATTAAACATCAAGAGGATGGTTAAAATAAAACCAAAAAACCCTGAGATTAATGGGCCTGACACACCTATGACTGATGGCCTGTGCTGTGCCTTCATAGGTAGGGCTGTTTATTTAAATAATGGTATCTTTCTTCTCACCCCATGTCTCCTTAAGTTTACTAGTCATGCATCCGGGAAATATCCTGGACCACCATTCACTAGCTAATCCTTCAACCATATACATGACTACCCACGACTGCACTGGCTGACCCAATTCTATGACCTTCTCCCTTCCCCACATCACCCCAAACAGTAAGAAGTAGCTTGAAACTGTCGCTGCTCCCTTATAAAGAAAAGGCTGGAATGTTGAAGTGGTCCAGGGTCCTCAGGGTAGAAGGGACCTAAAAACTGTGTCTGTATTGCAAACCATAATGCCCCAAAGTAGAGAGTAAAAAGGAAAGTGCCTGCCATGAAGGCAGGGGGTGAGGTAGGGTGGGGGTGGTAGGAGGGATACTGGGGACATTGGTGGTGAGAAATGTACACTGGTGGAGGGATGGGTATTCAATCATTGTATGACTGAAGCTCAGTCATGAAAACTTTGTAACTGTATCTCACGGTGATTCAATTAAAAAAATTAATAACAAAAAACAAAAACAAAACTGTTGGTGAGCACTTGCAGACAGGGTTTGTGAATTTGCCTGGAGGTTTTTTTCGTCCCGCTAGAATTCCTGGAACTTGCACAGAAGCACCTTTCTGGGAACAACCTGCACAGAAGCCTTTATTCCCTCGTTCCATTCTACCCCTTTCCCACTGCTGTATAAGATGCTCAAGCAGCCCCATATTTGGTGCCACTTCACAGGCCTCTTTGGAGACCCGTGGACCTCTTTAGGAAGCATTTTTCTTTTTCCAGTAACTCCCCTTTCAGCCTTGATTTTCCTTTTGATCTCTGACCTTTCAAACTCCAGGCAGCCACATGAAAGGCAAGAAATACAATCTTTCTGCTGCTGTACAATCTTTCCAGCCTTGGTATTTTGAATGTATGTAAAAATCTCATTTCTCTGGGGCTAGAAAGATAATACAAGGTAGGGCACTTGTCTTGCACGTGGCCAGCAGTTTCCATCCCAGGAACCCCAAAATGGTCCTCCAAGTCAGGAGTGATTCCTGAGTGCAGAGCTGGGAGTAAGCCCTGAGCACTGCCAGGTGTGATCCCAAAACAAGACATTTAGAAATTTTTTCTAATGAAGCAAAATAATATTTTTTTGGGGGGAGGGAACTTTCCTGATGGTTCCCTCAGTACTTCCAGTTCTGTACCCTGTATCTGAACCAGGACTGGCTGCACACAGAGCAAACGCCTTAATGCCTGTTGTCTTTAATCCTTGAAGTACAAACTCATTAAGTCCAATATAAAAACGTTCAAAACTAGCAAATCTAGAGATTAATGGTCTCCCAGTTTCCCAAATTCATGTTTACCTACAATATGGAAAGAGGACCTTTGTAGAAGTAATAATTAGTTAAGATAAAAGGTCACACTGAGTTGGGTTAAAGTGAATGGCTGTTGCTTCTAACTTCATGTGAAGACAGACACACCCAGGAAAAGTTCCTGTGAAGAAAAGAGGCTGAAGGACATGATGCAATTATAAACCAAGAAAGGCCAAGGGTTGCCAGCTACCATCCGAAGCTAGAAAAGCAGGGACATCTTCTGCTTGGATGTAGGAACTTTTGGTCTCCTGAATTTTGTGTTTGTGTTAGTTTGTTACAGGAGCCCAAGAAAACTAATACAGTGGGGAAATGGGAAGGGAGGATGAGGTTTCTTTTCCTGGTACTGAAAAATGTTTCAGTATTGCAATGTGGCACATTTCTGTGAATATACTAAGCAAATTTAATTCACATTTCTGTGAATATGCTAAGCAAATTTAATATAATAAGCAAATTGAGTGAATTGCACAGGAAGTAAATAATATCTCAATAAGACTGTAATAAGTAAAGGAACTCTAATACATTGAAATAACTTTAATGCTTTTTTTTTATCATTTAATTTAAACCTTTTTGGGGCTTATTCTAACTACCGTATAAAGAAAATGATGAACGTTAACATAGAAACAATGATTCCCAAATTGAAAAAATAATTAACACCTTTAAAATAAAGAATAAACTTGGTAGCACATTTTAAGTTGAAAAATATTTAATTATATCAGATTGAAAACATTAATGGTGATAGATTTACACATTTCATTTCATTCCTTAATGTGGCAAAAAAATGACTAGGGAAAAAAATGAGCAGTGGGTTTATAAATTATTTATTGAGCGTATGAAATTAATGAGGATATTTATTTCAAATCATTACAAAACTTTGGGACAACTGTGTAAAATATCTTATATGTCCTGTAATGAAATCATGTACCTTTTAAATCTGTAATAACTTCAAAGTCAGTACTGATATTACATAACTATTACGTGCTATTCTAGTTACCAAGAAATTTGCTATAGTTTTATCTTTTACTAAGTTCATCATTCAACAGTGAAAACTGAGAAGAAAAATCATTTTTTAACCACTGAGTAAAACAGTGATAGAAACAATGATGGACACAAAGGTTGACACTGTGTTAAAAAAAATGGATATTTGGGTTAAATACATGTCATGTTGGTTACACTTTTAAAGTCCCAAAATGCATTTATAAAGATTTTTTAGTGTGTGTATGCCTTGACTTACTCTGGCTTGCTTTCAAAATGGAATTCATTTGGCACTAAATGGAATAGACGAGGACAAGCAAATTAAGGGACTGAGCTGCTCCATCCGAGTTGCCTGTCTTGACTTAGAATACTATTTTCTTAATTTTTAACCATACAGAAATAAACCTAATTACAAAGTACTTCCATAATGTATGAAAATAGAATCTCGAGCTAAGACAAGGCTGCTTTACTAATAATAAGACAATACATCACTCTGTCAGAATTATAGCTATACATGTGAAATTCATTCTAGAATTTGTATTTTTACCAAATTCTTATATTTTTTGCTATATCATGTCATTGGTTATGTGACCAGGTAAAATATGGTCTTCAAATTAAGTATGGGAATCCATATTTTAAAAAAATTATGGGATCTTCTTTTTACATGAAACTTCCCTCAAAAAAAGAAAAGACCAAACTAAAACTTTGTAACCGAACTCTTGGAACAAAGCACTGGTCCTCAAGTTTCTTAATCTGGTGAGTCTTCAAGGGTCACTCACATTTCATGTTTCCAGAGTTTCTTCATTTGCTCCACATGTATCAACGACACAAATTAAACAGCTTGTTACTGGAAATGCTCGAACTTTGGAGTTGGCAATCCATTTGTCTGTTTCAGTATTATATTCAAGGATGTGTCCTAATCGGCCCACACCTTGAAAACCAGCCAAAACATAAACTACAGAGCCAACTGCGGCACACTTCACAGTTACACCCTTCCACGGCATTGGCGAAACCATCTTCCATTCGTTTAATTTAATATCATAATATTCCACGTTGTCTAGACCACCTTTAAAAGAGCAAAACAACACAAACAGCTATTTGGACCATTCTACAATGAGCTTTGTAGAAATTTCAAGTAAGTTTTAAGAATTTTATTATGGACAACCACATAATTATCACTGAAATTTATTTTTTTGTGTGTGTGGGGAGTCTCCCTAACAGTGCTTGGAGGCCACCAAGGCTGCACCCTACCTATTGGTGCTCACGGAACCATGTAGTGCTGGGGATTGAACTTGGGGAATCCCCTAAATTCTTATTCTTACTTTTTTTTTGGGGGGGTGGGCTTTTGAGACACATCCATCTTATTCTTACTTTAACACAGTGAAAACTTACATGCATTTTTAATTGTTGCTTTAGAATCATAAAAATTTATTCTACAAAATGAAAAAATGTTCTATTAATTCTGGGAAAATAAAGAAGTAAATCAAACAGCAGATCTCCCTTCTGATTAGTTTTGATTTAAATTGTTCAAATATCCTTACTCTTTCTGCCATTAATCTTTTAGCAGTTTATGGAAAACTGATGAACAGCAACAGGAGATGAGAAAGTTATTTCTTTGTTATATTTAAGTAACACTTAAAGATACTAAAATGAAGTTTGAGGACAACTAGAAATTTAGTCCAGATTCCCTATTATTTAAAGCAATTACTTAAGATTTTTTTTTTGCACAACACTTAAGACCATGTAAATGTCACGGTCATGGTCCTCTCATTGTTCATCGATTTGCTCGAGCGGGCCCAGTAACGTCTCCATCATGAGACTTGTAGTTACTGTGTTTGGCATACATCATGGGTAGCTTGCCAGGCTCTGCCGTGCGGGCGAGATACTCTCCCGGGCTCTCCGGGAGGGGTGGAGGAATCGAACTCGGCCACGTTGGCCGCTTGTAAGGCAAATGCCCTACCGTTGTGCTATTGCTCGGCAGCACATATACTGAATTGGAACAATACATGTAAATGTATTCATTAAAAATACTAATATTGAAGCATCCAGCATAAGAGAAGGAACACATGGAGGGTGCGGGATCCCGGAGGAAAAAAAAAAAAGAAAAAACAGGTTCCAAAAAGAGCCGAGATCACCCGCAAGTTCCAGATGGAGTAGGTGCTGCATCCCGCCTCCCCCAGATGGAACCCCGGTGACCAGAAGCCTCTACAAACACAGCTCGAGTATGCGGGAACAAGGACTTTTTCTCAAAACTAGGACATCTCTCTGTATACAAAGTGATCAATGAGAAGTAAACCACCCAATCTTTCTCCCTGAAAGTCAGAGTTAAGTTTGGAGCACGGCCACAGCCCCAGAAACACAAGGACTTAATGCAGAACCCAGCATCTTAGAGCAGAAAAGCGAACGGACGATGAGTTAACCCAGGCCATCATTTCTGCCCAGAGGGGAAAGGGTGTTGCCCCATTCGCCCTCTCTTCTCTGGAAAGAAGGATGGCGGCCGCATGGGAGCCTTGTGGACAGCAGGTATGAGCCGGGGGTGTGGGGGCGACTAAAACCTCATGGGAAGGGGGGCGTTCCGGTCCGTCCTTCACGCCCTACCGAGGTCACCAGTTGCCCCCCACGAGCGGCTCTCCAGCACGGCCACACTCCCAGAAGCACAGGGCTTAATGCAGAACCCAGCAGCTTGGAGCAGAAAAGTGAAAGGACTATGCGTTAATCCAGGCAATCATTTCTGCCCAGAGGGGAAAGGGTGTTGCTCCCTTCCGCCCTCCTCCCTCTGGAAAGAAAGATGGCGGCCACATGGGAGCCTTGTGGACAGCAGGTATGAGCCGGGGGTGTGGGGGCGACTAAAACCTCATGGGAAGGGGGGCGTTCCGGTCCGTCCTTCACGCCCTACCGAGGTCACCGGTTGCCCCCCACGAGCGGCTCCCCAGCACAGCCACGGCCCCAGAAGCACAAGGACTTAATGCAGAACCCAGCAGCTTGGAGCAGAAAAGTGAACGGACTATGCATTGATCCAGGCCATCAAGTCTGCCGGAGGGGAAAGGGTGTTGCCCCATTCGCCCTCTCCTCTCTGGAAAGAAAGATGGCGGCCACATGGGAGCCTTGTGGACAGCAGGTATGAGCCGGGGGAGTGGGGGCGACTAAAACCTCATGGGTCTGGGGGCGTTCCGGTCCATCCTTCACGCCCTACCGAGGTCACCAGTCGCCCCCCGCGAGCGGCTCTCCAGCAAGGCCATGGCCCCAGAAGCACAAGGACTTAATGCAGAACCCAGCAGCTTGGAGCAGAAAAGTGAATGGACTATGCGTTGATCCAGCCCATCAAGTCTGCCGGAGGGGAAAGGGTGTTGCCCCATTCGCCCTCTCCTCTCTGGAAAGAAAGATGGCGGCCACATGGGAGCCTTGTGGACAGCAGGTATGAGCCGGGAGTGTGGGGGCGACTAAAACCTCATGGGAAGGGGGGCGTTTCGCTCCGCCCTTCACGCCCTACCGAGGCCACCGGTTGCCCCCCGCGAGCGGCTCTCCAGCACGGCCACGACTCCAGAACACAGAAACCAATTTCTTAACTATCTGACTTTCAGTAGAAATACTTCCAGGGTCAATAGGTAAAATAGCAGAAATCCAAAACCAACATTTAATTCTTGAACCCAGCTGTAGAAAGCAAATCACTTCACAATGCTTTTTCAGCATGTCTGATTTGGGGGGGGGTAAACTCTAAATAATAGTGGTGAATCTTTTATTGAAACAATGAATCTAATCAAAGCAGATAGAGTGTTAACTAGAATTCATCTGCCTCACAGGGACGGGGAGGGGTGGGGGGTGGGGTTTTATTGGGGTTCTTCATGGTAAAAAATAAGTATTGGTAAAGGGAAATGTGTTTGATATTTGCATGACTGAGACATAAACCTGAAAGCTTTGTAACCTTTCCCACAGTGATTCAATAAATAAAAAAAAAAAAAAGAAAAAAAATACTAATATTGATATTTTCATGCAATGTTTATAAATGTTTAGACGGTTGCCATTCAAACCTGTATACAAATTCTAAAATATATTTTAAAAATGTTTGAAGTGTTTTCTTAGTGTTCAAATGTCCCTGTCAGTTGGCAGTGCTTAGTGTGCTACCATTTCTCAGAGGCTATATGGAAACAAGCAACTGTCACAACAGCTGATGATCACTGCCATTACAGACAGGGATGTTACATATGCTGCAATGTTTTATAAAACATGTGAGTTCCCCTGAAAAATAAAAATAGGTATAGTGATGCCCATGATACATGCTTATATAGAGATTTAAGAAAAACATCTTCTGAGAATCTAAAATACACAACTAGCAGCAGACTCTTTGAGAAAGTGGAATGGAGAATTAATACCACATACCTAAACCATTCTGACCACCCACAGCAAATATCTTGTCTTTGACAAACACCAGACCATGATTCTTCCTGGCCTCAATCATTGGACACAGTTCAGTCCATCTGAAAAAACAAAACAAAACAAAACAAAACAAAACCAAAGCTTTTAGGGTACTTATTTATAAGAAGTTAAAAAATAAGCAAACAAAAAACCTCTCCTATATATTAGTTCATAAAAAAATAATCTTCCTCAAGTAGGTGTTCATTTCTCACTCATACATGTGTATATTTACACAAACAATATCTGGAATGATAGGAAGCAAAAAGCTTAACATGGGTTTACGGTACTTCAGAAAGGGGGTAAATAGGGATTCTTTTTCTTTAGACTATAGATGGTAAGTATAAGATAATTGGATACAATGAACATGTCTTTGAAAGAAACCCATTTTCTATGGAGCCCAACAAACTAAAATGGCAACATAAAAGGGGAAGATATAAACAGTAATCACAGTTGTGATATGTGGTTTTAATTAATATTTATGTGTAAGTAAGAAACAAACATTCCGAGCTGTTAGCACTCAGCGAACTAGCATTATTTTTTTACTGTTCACATAAAGGTCTTCAAATCTACATTGATACCTATAGGCTACTCCAATAATTTAACTACTATCATCTATCAAGTTAAATAATGTACTTAAATGTTGGTTTAGTACATTATTTAACTTGATTGTACTTAAGTTACTTGTACTTGATGTACTTGATGTACTTGATATGATGATAAATGAGATTAAGAACACAAACATGTGGGGCTGGAGCAATAGCACAGCGGGTAGGGCGTTTGCCTTGCAAGAGGCCGGCCCAGGTTCAATTCCCAGCATCCCATATGGTCTCCTGCGCACCACCAGGAGTAATTCCTGAGTGCAGAGCCAGGAGTAACCCCTGTGCATCATCAGGTATGACCCAAAAAGAAAAAAAAAAAGACAAACCCACAAACATGTAACATCAATGCTGAAAGATACTAATTCACAAGTAACAGCATCATATACCTATACAAAGACCTGGAACTGTGTTGAGTTATTTCCCCCCCAGATTTAATCCCTTCTTCTGCCTACACCCTTAGACACACAACAGACATTTATACTGGCATCAGATTTATGCTCTAATAGCTTAATATCAACCAAAGACTCCAAATAACAACAAAAGGGAAATCTGACCTAATATTGTTTTTTTGTCTTTTGGGGGACACACCCAGTGATGCTCAGGGTTTACTACTGGTTCTGTGATCAGAGATCAATTCTGGTGGGCTCAGGGAACCACATGGGGTGCTGGGGAATCGAACTAGGGTTAACCTCGTGCAAGGCAAGCACCCTACTCACTGTACTATCACGCCGGTCTCTTGAATATTATGTTTTTCCTCTTAAACTATTTGATAGATTTACCTTTTCAAAAGACATATAGTACATAAAAATTAATCCTCAGATACTAACAATTACTCTGGTTTTATATTAGTATTCTGTTTTTGTTTTAACAAGGGTCTGACGGTCACTGCTCGCCTTTTCAGAGCATCCCGGGAAGGGAGTAGGCAAGGCTGCTCCTGTTCTTCAGAATAAACCACAGGCTCATCCAGGGGGCAGGAGCGGCACACAGCTCTGCCGAGGGCAAGCTGGTGCCATGAAGCGAGTTTTAAATGGGTACATACGTCTCTGTGGCGGGGTCATACACTTCACAGGAATTCAGCACACGCCCAGACACGTTATTCCCTAAACTCCCACCGCACACATAGATCAGTCCATTGGCTTCCACCATCCCGTGGCTGCAGCGCTGAGTCAGCATGCTGGGCTTCGTGTGCCAGCTTTCAGTTCTAGTATCATAGCACTCAAATAAATACAGGGCAGAGTTTCCTGTAAAAGAGAAAGGTCTCAAGCATAGGTCATTAGTGCACACTTGCAGCAAGGTAGCTAAGTGCCAAACCAAGTCATTAATGGCAAGAAGAACTTAAATTATGTACAGGAATTTTTATATTCAATCAACAGTTGTAAATAGGTAGGCACAGTTTAAGGAAAAGTCAACCCTGTTTGTATAATTCTTGGAAAATGTTAAAAAAACAAAAGGTTAAGGAGATTTTATTTGCAGTGAAACTTCAGAGAAAGAAATTGGTTTTATTTCAAAAGAGAAGTTAAAAATTGTGAGTCTGTAAAGCCCAGTTGCACATGATAGGATTCATGCAAGTTCTCCATGTTTACATATAGGATGAAAGCACATGGACAGATGCTACCTCTATGATCACTTCAGTAGCTGAATGGGCAAGACCTGAAGTCATGCCAGTTCGTTCTTGAGTGCAGGCTCATAGTATAATGATATGTTTCTGGTTTATTTTGATTGTACGTTTAAAGAGAACAAAACAGTCATCCTATTTGCAACTTCTAAATATAGTAGGAGTTGAACAATGCATTTCAGAAATAATATTAAATATCAAGTACTTTGGAGGCTGGAGAGATAGTACAGTGGGTAGGGTGCTTGCCTTGCTTGTGGCCAACCTAGGTTCCATCCCTGGCCCCATATTGTCCATCAAGTCTGCTAGAAGTGATCCCTGGACAAAGAGACAGGAGTAAGCCCTAAGTATCTCTGGGTGTGACCCCAAACAAAAAATAAACAAAAAATAAACAAACAAAATCAAGTACTTTCCTTGGGAAGGATAAAAGAAATTTACTAATTTGTTTTTTACCTCCTACACTTTAGGACTTTTTCAAGTGATTTAAAATCATAAATACCCTTACAACTTTTTATTGCAGGGAGATGAAGAGACAGTACCAAGGGTAGGGAGCATGCCTTACATGTTGTTAGCCTGAGTCCTATCGTCTGCATCCCATCCACTCACCATCCTTCTCCCAAGGCCACCAGGAGTAATTCCTGAGTGCAGTGCCAAAATTAAGCATTGTCAGAGCTGGGTGTAGCCCCAGCCCCAAAAACAAACAAAGAAAAAACCCCTAACACACACAACCTCTCCAACCCACCCCCATTACTTATTGGAACTAAAACCTATGAAAAGCAGGGGCTGGAATGATAGTACAGCAGGTAGGGCATTTGTCTTGCATGCAGCTGACCTGGGTTGTATCCCTGGCATCCTACAGCAGACAAAAAAAAAAGTCTAAGTAAAAAACAGATTTAGTAAAATGCTTAAGAAATGAAAGTATTGGGGCTGGAGAGATAGCACAGCGGGTAGGGCGTTTGCCTTGCACGCGGCCGACCCAGGTTCGATTCCCAGCATCCCATATGGTCCCCTGAGCACCGCCAGCAGTAACTTCTGAGTGCAGAGCCAGGAGTAACCCCTGTGCATAACCAGGTGTGACCCAAAAACCAAAAAAAAAAAAAAAAAAAAAAAAAGAAAAAAAAAAAAGAAATTATCTACTGTACCATGAAACAACTACATTTTATTATTCTAGGATTTCCTGAACTGGAAAAAATGCTTTATTTATGAAATTATTTAATTTTAATTATTTAATTTTATTTGAATATAATATTTTAAATTTAAGAATGCTAAAGAGAGGTGAAACGTTACCTAGTAAGACCTATAGGAAATCACACATTCCCCCATATATTCACTAGCGTCTAGTGTATGGTGCGGACAAAACACAGACAAATATGCTGACTAATGGTAAAATAGTCTTTGGGCTAATATCAAAATCATCAAAGAACATAAAAAAGACTTACAGTTAACACTTAAATTCTATACCTTAGGTTTACTTGGTCTTCCAAGTTTTATTCATAAACTCGTAAGTTAGCTAAAGGAATTACTTGAAAAGATGAAAGTCTGTTAAAGCTACTATGTACTTAGTCTGCACCTGGAATATTCATTTAGAAAAATTCATTTAGAAAAAGACCACTTCTTGACACTAACAAACTATTCATCTATAAGAAAAAGTTGTAAATTCATGCCCACACTTTATTCTGACAATAATCATGAAAAGCTTCTGAAGTCATTAGATCAAAAAGTTAAGGAATAAAGCAAATGTGTGTGTGTGTGGGGGGGGGGGAATCATTCTTTTATTTCATGCAAAGAAAACAAAGACACTACAGAAAAAACTGAGGAGTAGTAAAGAAGTCTTAAGGCTCTATGGGCAAGCCAAACATTTAAAAAAATGTGTCATTGATGTATCATTCATGTACAATGCTATGTAGATTTCAGGAGTATAGCTCATAGATGTCCTAAGTAAGGAAGTCTGACTATATTGTCCATTACCAAAGCTAACTCCCAGGACCTGCCTAACTGCTTTTACCCTTTCCTTGATCCTTGCTCACTTTCCAACTAGGACTACTGTGCTTTTCACCCATATATTAGTTACTAGTTACTATTTGTATTCCATACACAGAGAAAGCCATCCAGTAACTGTCTTTCATTCTCTGGCTTATTTTGCTTCTCATAACCACCTCAGGTTCCATCTATTTTGTTGCAAAAGGCAAGACTTTATCTCTCTAAGGAGCTGAGTGGCATTCCACTACAGACTCTGAAATCCCTAAAGAAAATATTACTATGTACACAAAATTACTAGTCTAGAGTGAATGCAGTCAGTGTCAATGAAAGAACAGCACCATTTCTTATAAATTAAGGAGCAAAATACAGGAACAAGGAAAGGGGCTCTAAAATATGACAGACAGGTATTTAAATTATGTAAAAAAAGTACTTGGACAACCAACCAATTATTTATTTAAGCCAAGACACTTGGCTTAAAGCGCTTCCCCTCAAAAAAAGTACTAAAGTGCATCCTTACCAACTTCAGAGCCTCCAGATGTGTAAATTTTGCCTTCTGCAGCACAGGCAGCAAGGCTGTCTCGAGGTGTGGGGGGGCCCAGTTTGGAATACCAGCTGTCCTTCACAACATTGTAACAGTCCATTCGTTTTATAGGGAAAAGTTGAGAGCCACCCAGAATATATACTACGTTGTCCCAAAACACACAGGCTGCATCTCTTCGCTTTTCGAAAGGACATCGGATATCCGTCCAGCTATAATCCTGCAATAAGAAAGAATCGGAAGCTTTCAGTACTGGAAAAGCAACATTAAAAAGGACCAAGCAACATACAGTCAAGGAAAGACAGGTAAAGTGTGTATTCATTTACTTGAGTTCATATAAAAATAATTGGCTTTGATCCAATTTAATTGTGTGTGATATCTGCAGACTGTTGGTTGGGGGCAGTGGGCAAAAGGAGAACAGTGATTGTTTTGTGCCTTTTACTGATTTTAAAATGAATGTATTCTTTTCCCCTCTGAAAAGAAAGATGGCAGCCGCTTCGGAGCTTTATGGAAAGCCAGGTATGAGCCGGTCGTGATGGGGCGACTGAAACCTCATGGGAAGGGGGGCGTTCCTGCTCGTCCTTCACTCCCTACCGAGGTCACGAGTTGCCCCCCACCAGCGGCTCTCTGGCACGGCCATGGCTCCAGAGCACAGAAACCAATCTTAAAATTATCTGACTCTCAGCAGAAATACTTCCAGGCTTAATAAGTAAAATGCGGCCACGCAACATTATTTGATTCTTGTAACCAGCTGTAGAAAACAAATTATTTCACGATGCCTTTTCAGCATGTCCGATTTGGGGGTGTAAACTCTAAATAATAAGGGTGCATCTTTTGTAGAAACAATGAATCTAATCAAAGTAGATAGAGTGTTAACTAGAACTCATCTGCCTCACAGGCATTGGGAGGGTTGGTGGGGGGGGGGGGCTATTGGGGTTCTTGGTGGTGAAAAATAAGTATTGGTGAAGGGAAATGTGTTTGATAATTGCATGACTGAGACATAAACCTGAAAGCTTTGTAACTTTTCCCACAGTGATTCAATTAAAAAAAAAAAAGAATGTATTTCAGGAAGAAGGGAGTCACACCTGGCAGTGCTAGGGGACCAAGCAGAATCAGGGATGAAATCAAGGGCTTCCACATGCAAAGAAAGTGCTTCACCCAGTCCTCTGAGCCATCTTCCCAGAACGTGTGAAGTATTAACACATTCTTGAATATCATCACCACCCATTTTCAGGCAACGTCAGGACCTGAGACACAGTTAGGGCAGATCTTCCTGGGATCCGTGTGGACCAGGCTGGTTATTTGGTTCCTGCAGTTGCCCTATTTATCTCACTAGTGTTCTCACCCCAGGGAATAGCTCCTACAATATTCCTGCCAGCGGTAAACACTTCTGAGACACACAGAAGAGCCTTGTTAACTTGTTTGCCTGGGTCTCCATTTTCCTATAATGTTTGCACGTCCTCATGTACACCCCTTTCAAATCACATACAACATGTAACTGCAATTTCCACCCTGATTGCAAAGTGGAACCATCTCCTCAGTAAATGCCTGTTCATGCGGGAAAGAAGCTCTGATGCAAGAAGAGGCCTTGTGACAATTTTAATAAACAACATTCCCAATGTTCAGCAGAGCATGCCTTCACTTAACTTTAATTTAGGATTTAAATCCAGGCCTACAAAACTCACTGACAAACTTCAGAGCCCATCTGAGTACCCAGCCATGCACATTTATTTGCTTTTATTCAACAATATTATTTCTCAACTTATGGCCAATGTATAGGATTAGGGGAATACAGGAAGGAAATAAGTGGGTCAGAAATGGGCCACAGAAGCCAGAGCGATAGTACAGGGGGTAGGGCACTTGCCTTGCATGCAGCTGCTCTGGGTTCAATCCCTGGCACCCTATATGGGCCCCCAAGCCATCCAGAGTGATCTCTGAGTGCAGAGCTAGAAATAAGTCTTGAACACAGCTGGATGTGACCCCAAAACAAAATTAAACCAAAAAAAAAAAAAAGGGAGCCCTGGTGGAAAAACTTTTGAGACCAACACTGCTATACACCAGTAGAAAAATCCTAGCAGAGACTGGTGAGCCTATAAAGCTGACAGTATTTGCTCTTTAGCCTTGTACGTATGTGTATTAGAGACAGCATCTATCCTGTGTTTGGGTGTCCTGCCTTTACCCATTTTTCACTCTAGACCACACCTGGCATTGCTTGGGGTTACTCCCAGCAGTGCTCAGGAGAGCATGTGGTTCCAGGGATCAAACCAGGGTTCTTGCAAGCAACACATGCACTCCAACCCTCTGAGCCATCTTCTCAGCCTTTTCACACTTCTTTTATTTGGGGGCTAGGGGGGAGGGGTCATATCCAGTGGTGCTCAGGGTTTATTCCTGGCTCTGCTCTTAGGGATCACTCCTGGAAGGGCTTGGGAAACAATACAGGACAATGGGAATCAAACCTGGGTCAGCTGTGTGCTTGGCAAACACTCTCCCCACTATACTATCACTTTGGACACCCCCATTTACACTTTGACAGAGTAAACCAAAAAGCTGCCAGTTATAAATAAAGCCTAGAGGAAGAGTTTTCTACAGTAGTGTATAGCATCTCGGGTAACCTGATGTTACCTGCTGGGGCATTAGAGTGCTGATTAGGGTGCCAGCAAGGCAAGCAACCCTACATGCTGTGCTCTCTCTCCAGACCCCCAAAGTGGATTTTTTTACTGAAAGTAACGCTTGAAGGAAAGTCAGGAGTTGCAACAAAGGCAAGAAGCGGCTAACAAAACAAGAAAGGAAAAGTAGGTTTCCATTTTCTCTGATATCAGCTCTCCTTATCTATAAAAATGCACAAAGTGATGAGTCTCATAAAGCACGCGAAGGAGCTCTTAACTAGCATCTCCAGAGGCTTGAAGTATTACCATGGGTGGTAAGTATATATTCTTCTACCTAAAAAAACAAGAACCAGTTGTTACCTTTGGGTTAAAATATCTACAAGACTGTGGCTGGGACCCTCCAAAAAGAGCTATGCGGTAGTCATGTTTCTTTCTTCTAGGTCTCGTGCCTTCTACCAGCTCTTCTCTATCCTCTGGAGATAGCAGATGGTATCTCATTCCACCTGTAAAGAAAACGACTGGTAATTCCTCAAGAACCTCAGGCACTTTAGTACTTTAAAAGGGAAATACTAGGGTGAGAGTGACAGTACAGCAGGCAGTCATTTGCCTTGCTCGTGGCTGACCCGATTTGATTCCCCAGGAACTCATATGGTCCCCTTAGCCCCAAGACTGATAGACTGATCCCTGAGTGCAGAGGCAGGAATAATCCCTAAGAACTGTGAGTGTGGCTGGCTCAATAAATAAATCCTCACCCCTAAAAAAAAAAAAAAAGGAAATATCTGGGAGACATAGTTCAGTGGATAAGGTTCTTGTCTTGTATGTGGCTGACCAGAACTGTGGCTGACCAATCCCTAGAACCCCATGTAGTCCCCTGAGAACTAGTAATGATCATGGAGTGCAGAGCCAGAAGTAAGCTTTGAGCACTGCTTCATGGGACCCAAAAGCCAAAATATTAAAAAACTGAAAAAATGGTGCATTTATTTCTGCAATTTTTTCCTCCTATCATTCTTGTATAGCATTCAAGAAGAGGAACATTGTAGAACAGTGATCTTCAACCACCAGTCCATAAACTAGTACAGTCTTCAGGCGCAGAATGGAAAGAGAGAAAGAAAGGCAAGATGGGGACAAGACACAGAGTGGAACAACATCTGTCCTTTAAAAATTTGTATTAGTATGTATGTCGTGAAGTGTTATGTCACATAACTAGGCTATATGACATACTTGTAAAACAAAACAAAACAAAAAACCCACCTCACCCAAAAAAGGAGAAAGAACTGAAACTCTCTAGAACTGTCAGGAAAATGCAAATCAAAATGACTAGCAAGGTTGGTACACATCAAATAGGGTAGAAGTATTCATTGCTGGAGGGGACGTGGGGGAAAAGAAACCCTCAGCCACTGTAGATGGAAAATGTTGTTTGATTCCGTTTCCGTGCAAAACAGTATGTAGACTTCTCAAAAACTTAATTGAGGGGCTGGAGCGATAGCACAGTGGGTAGGGCATTTGCCCTGCACGCGGTTGACCTAGATTCAATTCCCAGCATCCAATATGGTCCCCTGAGCACCGCCAGGGGTAATTCCTGAGTGCAGAGCCAGGAGTAACCTCTGTGCATCGCCGGGTGTGACCCCAAAAAGCAAACATACAGACAAACAAAAAAAAAAAACTTAATTGAACTTCCCAACAATTCCACTTCTTGGCACTGGCCACAAGGGACCTCAAACAGTATTTCAAAAAGACATCTGCACTCCTATGTTCACTGAGGCCCTATTTATAATAGCCAAGATCTAGAAACAAAGCCAAGAACAGATGAGTAGATAAAGAAATTGTGGTGTATTGGGCTGAGATAATATAGGAGGTAAGGCAATTGCTTTGCATGTGACTGACGCTGGTTCTATTAATAGCACCACATATGGACCCCTAAGCCTTGCCAGAAGTGGTCCCCAAACAAAAACAAACCAAAAATGTGGTATATACACAAAATGGACTACACAACGATATGAGAAGATGAATCATTCAATCTGTTGCAACTTGGATGGGAATGGAGCACATCATGCTGAGCGAAACCAGAGGGAGAGGGAGATTTTACAGAATCATCTCTCTCATAAGTGGAATATAAACAAAATAGAGTTAGGGAACAACTGGCCAGTGGTAACTGACCCTGAGACAGACTGCATAACTGAGTTTGCCAAGGAGGTGGGATGGGTGAAGCAGGTGGCCAGGAGACATGGGTGGAGGGACCTTGGCATTCTGGTGCAGGATACGGTGTGGAGTACTGTCTGCCTGAAATGGTATTATTAACAGCATTGTAAATCTGTTCTAGCTATCTAAAAAATTTACCAATGCCTAGATAAAAACGGGAAGAAATTTGTTTTGTTTTGTTTTTGGGCCACACCCAACAATGTTCAGGGCTTATGCCTGACTCTGTAGACTCAGAAATTATTCCAGTCTGTGCTGAGGGGACCTAAGGAGTGGCAGGGATCAAACCCAGGTCAGCCATACACAAAGCAAGCACCCTACTCACTTTACTATCGCTCCAACCCCAGAGAAGAAAACAATTTTTTTTTCTTTTACTGCATAGTACATTAGTTGGCTAAGTAAAATAAAAAATGGAAACACAAGGGCAAGAGACACAGTAAAGGTTAAGGCATCTCTCTTATATGTCTGGTTCAAATCCTCAGCACTACCCGGAATAATACCATTGTATAGAGCCAGGAATAAACCTGGAGCACAGCAGGGCGTGGCCCCAAAATACAATTACTAATAAAGTGATAATGGAAACACTAAAAACAAAATATAAGAGGACTATTATATGTCAAAAAGATGAAAAAGATTAAGCAATTTTTATTCTCTATTAAACATATCCCTATAAAATAAAGGTTGAGGTAAAAAAGTCCTCTCTTCCTGAGGACTCCAGGAAGAAAACTAAAAATCTTAATAGACTGGATTATTTGGAAAGCAAAGTATTGAACTTTTTTTGCAGCTACTGAGTCTGACACTTTCCAAGAGTTTTAAGCCCATGAGAAACTGGCTACATGCAGGTTATTAATAGATATTAAGGCAACTTACTTATCACCATCTTAAGGCATTCAGGATTGTCTTGAATGAGTGGTTCAGCTTGTACTGTTTTGCTTAAGAAATTCTTTGATATGAGAGGAAATCTGACTTTAGCAAGGATATCAACCATAAATGGCTGGCGATTTGGCTCATCGTATTTTAGCCACCTGACTGCAGCATCGTAAACCTAAAGAAGGGAAAAAAACCCAGTATGGCAAAGGTCTTTTATGGCAGTAACGTTTCTTAACACCAATGTTTACTTTCACAACTAACTGTTCCTAATATTTTATTTGGGTATTTATGTTCATTCCCAAATATTTGCGGGTACTTCGGAATAATTTATATATGCTCTAGTGATTCTAAGAGAATCACTAGATTCTTTAGAACTAATTAATACTATTTAATGATGTGATCAGAAGGAAAGATGTTGAATTTGGGGTTTTTTTGGTTGTTGTTTTTTGGGTGGGGAGATGGGTGTGGAGCAATGCTGGACTTAAATCTGTTTTCTGGTGGTGAAGGTGGGGTGTGGGCCACACCTGGCTGTGTTTGGATTTTACTCTTGGCTCTGTGCCCAGGGATCTCTCCTGGTAGGGTCTGGGGGAACATGTAGGGTACTGGAGATAAAACTAAGGTCCTTTTTATGCAAGGCAACTGTCTTACAGCAGTTATACTGTCCTTGGCCCCCAAATTTGTGGATTTTTAAAGAAACAAAATCTAGCCTCCTTTTTGGAATGTTATATGAGGTACATTACATTTATAGTTAAACAAAAAAACTGATTACTTAAAGATAGTGGGGTTTTTTGGGGTGTGGAGTTATCGCCCACACCTCACAGTGCTCAGGACTTATTCCTGGCTCTGTGTTCAGAGATCATTCCTGGCAGGCTTGGGTGACCATTATGTGGTGCTGGGGATCAGGTTGTTCACATGCAAGGTAAGTGTCCTACCTGCTGTATTATCTCTCCAGTCCCTTAACTAAAAAATACCTATTTAGTATTTCTTTAATGTTAATGATTCTTTAATGTTCTTTCTCTGTTCCACAGTCCTTTAATGAATAACATACTACACTCAGTAATTTTGTCACTACTGGCTTTTCCATGAGTTCCTAAGACTTTCCTTGTTATTTTGACGATAATGTTCCTGATGACAGTTTCACATTCTGGCCAGGCATTTTGGAGCATGTTCTTCCATCTCGGTTTGCATGATGTATTTTTTGTAATATATAAGAGCCTCATATATACAAAGTATTCTCATAAAAACAAGGGTTATAGATGTGACTACGGGTCTATGTCTCACATATAGAACAGGGCTTACGATGTGGAGGGAGACTCCAGGGGGTGACACGCCTTTCTTGCTGTATTAGAATCAAGGGAGCATGTGGCCAACACGGCTTGGCTCATTTGGACAATGTCAATCCTGCAGGCAATGTCCCAGGGTGCTTCAGTCTAATGTTACTATTCTTCCCTTCTCATGCTACAGAGTCAGGTTTTATTCTTGTTTCGACATCTCCTAAGCAGGGCACTTCTGGTGATTCTTGGCCAATCCAGATCAGACAGTTCAATCCCAAGGGCTTTTGAATACAGTGATGCTCTGGCCTGTGGTGCTCAGTGGCCACCAGGGCCACACCCAGCAGTGCTCTTGACCCACCAGTGCTACACCAGGCGATGCTTGAAGGGACCAAGTGGTGCTGGGGCTCGAATCAGGGTTGGGCTCATGCAAGGCGCACACTTACCCCCTGTAGGATCTCTCTAGTCAGAAAGAGTGAATTTTTAATCACAGGAATGAATTTTTTTATTGTGTCCCATCAAATGGAAACTGTCAGCAGAATGTAATCAGATACCCTTGGTCATGAAGAAAATAAGGCAGGCACAAGAATGTGACTTTGTGCAAATTTTAAATCTTTCTAAAAGAAGTAACTCAAATTTATGATCCAACAGTGCCTCTATTTAGTTTTCTATTGCTGCTGGGACAAATTATCTAGAATTTTTTTTTTTTATCCACTTGGTTAAAAAATATATAGAGGAAGAACGGGAGAAGGTACAGAAGGGGTCAGATGCTTGTCTCCCATGTGGCCTAATCCAGTCTGATTCCCAGCACTGCATATGGTCCCTAGGAATGACACCTGAGCACAGAGGCAGGAATATGCCCTGAGCACCACAAAACACCAAAATCTTAGCAAAGGGTTTGTTTGCCTGCCATGGTACCCATTAGCTTTCTCTTTACCAAGTTGCCTCTCAGACAGCCAGACTCACTTTTTCCTAAGAAATCTCTGTTTACTGTCAAGAACTCATTCACTCTTAATATGATCTTTTCCTTGTCAGGTATCCAAAGAGGAGTTGTAAGAAACCTGTTTTCACTCAGACAACATGAGAAGGCAATTGAGTACCTGGTCCTCTGCTCTCACGGTCAGTGTGTCCTGGTTGAGAAGATGTGTAACGCGCTTCACATCAAGTTGAAGAAATTCATCTGTTTTGTAAACTTCAGTAAAATGTTGATGAATAAAGTCATCTGCAGTTGCTTTCAATTCAGGACAATCCAGACACTCAGCGAGCACACTTATACCTAAGGAAAAAAAAAACTTTCAAAAAAAAGAGCAAATGTACAGTGTAGAAAAATGATATAATCTCAGAAAAATTAAGACAAATTTCCTCCTAAGTCTGGATGCTTTTTCATTCCACAAATTCGTCTACTCTTACACCAAGACTGTCTTATGTTTGGTTGATTTTGAGATTTTGTACAAGCTCTCTTAAAAATTTTCCTCAATTTTTCTTGTCTACTGTTAAATTTTTTCCTCTCTTACTTTTGCTTGTTTGGGGGCTACTCTTGGTTCTGTGCTCAGGGACCATGTACGAAAAGAGAAGAAAGGGATGAAACTCAAGAGTTAGAGTGCATTCTTTCTATGTATGAAGATTTGGGTTCAATCCTTACTAAGGTGTGTGTGCGTGTGCACACACACACACACACACACACACACAAACCCCCAAATTATCTACAAAAACGATGCAAAATGCTAGAGGAATTCTGTACTCAGACTGTCTTAAATCTCTCATTTTTTAAAATTTTTAAATTTTTTATTAGTGAATCACCTTGAGGTACAGTTACACTTACAAACTTTTGTGCTTGCATTTCAGTCATACAATGAGGAGTACCGATCCCTCCACCAGTGCCATTTTCCACCACATCATTGGTCCCAGCATCCCTCCTACCACCCCCAACCTGTCCCTCCCACCCCATCCCGCCTCTGTAGCCTCTTTTGCTCCTTTTCTCTCCTTTTCAGTGTTGTGATTTGCAATAGAGGTATTAACTGGTCATCTATAGTCTACTTTCACCACGCATCTCCCATCTCGAGCGGGCCCTCCTAGCACCCCTTACTTGGTGGTCCCTTACCTATCTGAGCTGCCTTTACCACCAGCATGTGAGGCTGGCTTCTGAGCTATGAAGTAATCCTCCTAGTACTTATCTCTACTATTCTTGGGTGTTAGTCTCCCATTATGTTACTTTATATTCCACAAGTGAGTGCAATCTTTCTATGTCTGTCCCTCTCTTTCTGACTCATTTCACTTAACATGATACTATCCATGTTGATCCACCTATATACAAATTTCATCACTTCATCTTTTCTAACAGCTGCATAGTATTCCATTTTGTAGATGTACCTAAGTTTCTTTAACCAGTCATCTGTTCTCGAGCACTAAGGTTTTTTCCAGATTCTGGCTTGCCACGCCGTCAAGGGTGTCGCCCACGTAGCAATGTGCTATGGTGACCTGGTCCAGGCCCTGCGGGAAAGGGAGGTTCGCGACCTTCGGGTCTATGCCTCCGGCGCCCCCTTTTTATCCTGCCTTATGTGCTCTTGCGGCACCTTGTTATGTGGCTCTTCTGCATCCCGGATGGAGTTTATAATGTTTCCCTGCCGATTTTACTTATAAGTATAGTTGTCCCTTCTATGCAGTTAAGTATTTAGAATTAATAGGCAGAAGCTTTGTAGTTATAGTTTGCATTTACTCATTGTGAAATCTGTAGGAAACTAAGGAGATGGTAGGTTTGACAAAGGTCAGGAGTCATAGTGAAACCAAACAATAACAGGAACCAGTGAAACTGTCAAATGTTATGGCTGAAACAATTAGATTCTTAGCATACAGTGCAGCCCTTAATTTCAAGCAAGGGCGCCTAACATAAAAGAAAACAATAAGTTAACATATGAGAAAATGAGGGACATTGTGAAACCTTTACCCCCCCATACAAAAACTGGTTTAAGCACCTACATCCTGGAGTTTATTAACAGAAAAACAAAGTGTTGCAAACCAATATATGGGAAGGTCTGAGACCCTTCCTGGATTGTGAGATGTGGTTAAGACCCTGTCACAGAAGACAGATGGAAACAAAGATTATTGAAGAAAAACAATGATAGAAAACTCTGTAAAAAGGGAACCACGGTTAGACATTAAGTCCTGTGTGTAATCACTGTAAAGAATTTATAGGTAAACGTTTTGTCCTAACTTAAAGCAGGAAGTGTACTAAGGAAGTGTTCTTGTCCCTCGATATTCTTGGAATATGTCACCAATAAGTAACCATGATATGATGTAATGTCTGATTGTATTCTGGCCCTTTGTCCTATGATTTTGCCTTGACTGTATAAAAAAGGAACTGTGTACTCAGTAAATTTGCAGCAGCACTCAGCCTCTCTTGTTTTGGTGTCTGTCTGTCATCGCCGAATCTCCTGCTTTCCTGCAAACCTTCTCCCTGTTTTCCCTCAGCCTGGTGGTTTCTGACTGAGCCAGTCTGCGGCACTGGCTATTGTAAACAGTGCTGCAATGAATATATATAAGTACAGATGTCATTTCTATTATTCTTTTTTTTTTTTTTTTTGCATCTCCGGGATATATTCCCAGAAGTGGTTTGCTGGGTCAAATGGGACCTCAATGTCTGATTTTTTGAGAAGTGTCCATAGTGTTTTCCGAAAGGGCTGAACCAGTCAGCATTCCCACCAGCAGTGAAGGACAGTCCCTTTCTCCCTACATCCACGCCAACACAGGTTGCTTTTGTTCTTTTGGATGTGGGCCAGTCTCTGGTGTGAGATGATTTCTCATTGCTGTTTTGATCTGCATCTCCCTGATGATTAGTGATGAAGAGCATTTTTATGTGCCTTTTGGCCATTCAGATTTCTTCATTGAGAAAGTTTCTGTTCATTTCATCGCCCCATTTTCTGATGAGGTTGGATTTTTTTTTTTGGTAGAGTTCAACCAGTGCCTTGTAAATCCTTGATATCAACCCCTTTTCATATGGGTATTGGGTGAATATCCTTTCCCATTCTGTAGATTGTCTTCTCTCAATTCATTTTAAAGAAACTAAAAATAAAAAATTGTAAATGCTGTATCATTGGACTGTGGCTTGGACTGGCAGACTGGTATACTTATTATATTATGCCTACTAAGGGAACTTTGACCATTACCTTATTATTTTTTTTCTTGACTTCTTGCATTGATGGAAATTTATTTGCAGGAAAAAACTGAAAAGTAGCATGTTTTCCTGTAAAGCATATATACTATAGGTGCAGACACTCACAGATAATTAGTTATTCTATTTCTAGCTTAAGACTGTTTTTAAACATTAGCAACGGGCACTGCAAAGACAAGACTGCTTTCAGTGTCCACTGTTATAATTTTAAATATTAATTTTCTCCTATAGCTTGTTAGTAAAGTCAATTAATTCAGATTTTCAACAATTGAGCAATTCTGGTATTTCTGAAGCAAATCCTATTTGGTCATAAAGTATTATAATTAACATTATATTTGTACTAATAATCCTAATTTTTAGAGCAATTTTCTAAAAAAGCAAAACTGAATAAAATTTGTATATACCCTAGCCCCCACAAATGATGTCTTTCCAACTATCAATATTCCATATCAGAATAATGAAGTATGAAAAATATATATTTAATGATAGATTTAATTGGGTGATTAAAACATATTTTTTATTTTTACATTGGTCAGTGATAGCACAGCGGATGGGGCATTTGCCTTGCATGCGGCCGACCTGGGTTCGATTCTTTCGTCCCTCTTGGAGAGCCCGGCAAGCTACTGAGAGTATCCTGCCTGCACGGCAGAGCCTGGTAAGCTCCCCGTGTTGTATTTGATATGCCAAAAATAGTAACAAGTCTCACAATGGAGACATTACTGGTGCCCACTTGAGCAAATGGATGAACAACAGGGCAACAGTACTACAGTGCTACATTGTTTTACATCACAGTATATTCCAAGAATGCTTCTTAATACCCAATTCCTCATATAATGATCATCACTAATATGCTGGAATTCTTCCATCACATTCTACAAAGCTCCAACCACAGGCTTCACTATGCACTTCCTCTTATGGAAACTTCAGTTCTGTGGCTGGAATTTAAGAGTTAGTTCTGAATTGTTTTGTAATTCCCTTGCTTTGTTTCTTTATATCCCAAATATAAATGGGATTACCCAGTATTTGCCTTTCTCTTCCCCACTTATTTGTCTTAGCATAACCCCCTCTTCCTGCTTTATTATTTTTTCAAATAATTAATTTTATTTTAGTCACCAAGAATTACAAAGTAATTCATGATTGGGTTTCATGTATACACTGTTTCAACACTCATCCCTTCACCAGTGTCCACTTTCTTACACCAATGTCTTTCCCTTCATTGCATCCACTAGTGTGCCTCTATGAGAAGCGGGTTTTTTTGTTGGCATAACGTTAAATGAACTTACTGCCCAGGATTATAAGCATCTATCTCTTTAAGCACCTCTTGAAATATACTACTACAAAATTTTCTAGAGGACAATATCCTCAAATGAGGATACTTCTAACTATATCTCTATTTTTTTTTTTTTTTTTTTTTTTTTGCTTTTTGGGTCACACCCGGCATGATGCACAGAGGTTACTCCTGGCTCTGCACTCAGGAATCACTCCTGGCGATGCTTGGGGGACCATATGGGATGCTGGGAATCGAACCCGGGTCGGCCGCGTGCAAGGCAAATGCCCTACCCGCTGTGCTGTTGCTCCAGCCCCTATATCTCTATTCTTTATTAAACACATTAAAGATTTTTTTTTAACAATTTTCCTTTTTGTCACACCCAGTAACTCTCAGGGGTTACTCCTGGCTCTTAATTCAGAAATTACTCTTGGAGGTGCAAATGGGACCATATGGGATTCTGGGGAGTGAACCCAGGTCGACTGCATGCAAGACGAATACCTTATCCACTGTATTTCTCAGGCTCCTATTAAAAACATTAAAGATTTAAAACAATAGATATCTGATTTCTTACCAAGACAATTAGAAGCATCAACTTGCTCTTTCAAAAAATCAACACACATTTTCTTCACAGGTTCAATCTGATACTGGTTTGCGGCATCTAACAGAGACTGAACGTTGTTGCTATTCACAGAAATTCTAGGGAGATGAAAAATTAATTTTGCAAAGAATATTAATTTTCTATATTTTTATATTAAGTGATGCTACTCTAGAATGTATTCTTCAGCCCCTGAAATTAAATTTAAAAATAAAACATATCAATCCTTGAATTAGTATGCAATACAATCCTCAAATTCCCCCCTCCATGTAGTTTTTCACTCTGAAGAATGTGCAGAGCAATGCTTTGGTAGGATCTAACCTTACTCTTCCCACAACAAGAACTTTTTATTTTGGTTTGAGGCCACATCTAGCAGTGTTGAGGGGTTACTCTCAGTTCACAGTGCTCAGGGACCTACTGCATGCAAAGATTTCACTCAATCAATTTGAGTTCTCTCTCCAGCCCAAAATTTTCCTTAAATTACCTAGCTGTATAGGCAAATTCCACAAGTTGTTCAATAATGTCAGGTTCAGCATCTTTAAGTTCTACTTCAAAGGATTTTGATTCAAGCATGTTGGCTAAAATGAAGAGAAGAAACAAATGTCATGAGTAGTATCGTGAATTTAACCAAGGAACCAGATATTTCAGAAATACATTAATCATGGAGAACAGTAACAGATCTCATGGAAGAATATACCTCAGAAACCCCAACAATCCCATAATAAATGCAAACTTTCCACAGTTGATATGTGTCTTTATAAAGCCTCAGAAATGACTGAGTTTCTATTGGTGCGCTTAAAAATTTAAAAAGCCCAAATGAGAGCTTGCAAAGGTATCACTGTTCACCAAAACCCTGGAAATATCTAGAGAACCAAAGAGAAAAGGTAGAATCATTGTCAAGTCTGATCAAGCCATAAGCCAATGCCAAGTAAAGAAACGAGGCCTTGGTCTCAGTTCTCAACAACAAATCTAGGTTTCTTTCTAGAATAACTTATTCTTATTCCATTTAATCTGCTACATAAAATGTCTTAAGATTTATTTGTTTTCTTCACCTTTTTCAACATTAAGAAAAACAGTAACAGCAAACAACAACAGCAAAGATACTAGAGGTTGTATTACGTCTTTAGGGCTAATAAAAGGTCATCTGTCCTTTGATCAATCATCACCATTTCTGCTTTCAATGAAAATGGCTTTTCGTTCAGACTAAAACTCATTTTCCTTGAAAAAAGATATGCTTTTCTTTTTTGAGCCACTCCCAGCTATGCTCAGGGTTTACTCCTGGCTCTAAACTCAAGGATGACTCCTGGTGAGGCTTGAGGAACACTATGGTATGCCAAGGATCGAACTCCGGTCATGTGTGCAAGGCAAATGCCCTACCCACTGTACTATCACAGATCACAGATCATCCTGTTATTCGTCGATTGCCTCGAGCAGGCCCCAGTAACGTCTCCTTCATCCTAGCCCTGAGATTATATTCAAGGCTCTTTAGGAGAATGAGACCCATCATTGTTACTGGTATTTGGCATATTGGGTACGCCACGGGGAGTTTGCCAGACTCTGCCGTGTGGGCAGGTTACATTCGATAGCCTGCCAGTTTGTCAAAGTAGGAATGAGATGTCATAATAAGATGTCATTTGCGGCCACGTGGTTCCGGGAGCTGGTTTTTATAGTCTCAGAGTCTTGGCCGCTAATGGGATTACACGGAGCCAGGGGGCCAGTTGGTGGGTGTGACCCCCGCCTACTGGAATTTGGAGGATCTGGGTGGAGGATACTCGACTCCAATCCGAGTAGGCTTGGAGATCTCAGCCCCAGAACCCACGTGGCTTTGTACTATCACTCTGGCCAAAAAGTGCTGTGTTTTACTTAAAATACTTACTTGTGAACATTAAGTTAAAGAAATGACTGGCTGCTGCAAGGACAACACGATGAGCTGGTATCTTTCTCTCCTGGACCATAAGGATCACATCACACAGTGTTTTCTAAGCAAGGGAAAAACAAACAACATTAGAAAAAGGGTTCACCAGGCACCAGGCCCAGCTGAGTGGACAGATGGGTACTTGTTAAATTTGTTAAATGCTTCCTGTAGTAGGAAGTGTAATTTCCTACTAAAATAATCCTAATCCAGTATAGAGTTGTGTTGATTTTTTTTTTCAGCTTTTTGGGTCATACCCCGAAATGGTCAGGGGTTACTCTTGGCTCTGCACTCAAGAATTCCTACTGGTGGTGCTCAGGGAGGGGACCATGCGGGATGCTGGGAATCGAACGCGGTTCTGCTGCTTACAAGACAAACACCCTACCCACTGTGCTCTAGCCCGTTTTGTTTTGTTTTTTTTAAATCACATTTCTAACTTATAATAATCAAACTTATTTATAATAGATATCGCCTAGTTAGGAAGGACAAAGTTGCTGTCATGGATCAAAATCTGGCACTGAACTTCCCAACAGTTGGGGAAAAGAGCGGGGAAACTAGGGTTGGAGGAGATAATACAGTGGGTGGGATTTTTGCCATGTACACAGTTGACTTGGATTAGATCCCGGCATATGGTTCCCAGAATAATGCAAGGGATGATCCCTGAGCACAAAGCCACATATGGCCCTAAACCCGCGTACCGTCCCCCCCCCAATCATATAATCTAGAAAAATCATCAGTAGTATACTAGTTCTTTAGATAGGCCACATTATTATTATTTTTTAACGACAAACTCTTAGATATTTTCTCAGGGCAAGATTTTATGAGGCATTAAATGACAGCAATATCCTTGATAGTGTTTTTCTTTTTTGGGGGGGAGGGGGTCACACCTGGCTCTGCACAGGGGTCACTCCTGGGTGGCACTCAGGAATTACTCCTAGCGGTGCTTGGGGGACCATATGGGATGCTGGGAATTGAACCTGGTTCAGCCGCGTGCAAAGCAAATGATCTACCCGCTGTGCTTTTGATCTCCCTTGATAGTTTTCAAACATAGCAACTTCGTTGTAAAAAGTTATCTGTGATAATATGAACTTAGCCTTCATAGATCTGACCTTATACGGAAACAACTCAGAACAGTCAGAGTGGATCAATGAAAGTACATGTGTCAATCTCTCTCTTTAACACTTCTCCCAAACGTATTTATGATAGGAACTAGATAAGGCCAGTTTCAAGTGATTTCTGATTAAAGTTATGTCACTCTAGGTTGCTGAAAAAAGGCAGATCTAGATTTAAATACTTACTGAAGTTAAAAGATATGTTCAGGTTAGTCTCAGAGAAAATGCAATGTCTACTATATGTGTCCCTCTCTCAGTGATTGGCAATATGAGACAAATAATATATTCAAAGTGGGAAAAAAAAAAGGATGAGTAGTCTAAATCATGACTTGGTAGCTCAGAGGACATAACAGTTTGCAACTAAGTATTTTACTAAAATTTAAAATAGCTTCTGAAAGCAAATTTCTGCTATTTCTTACACTATGTTACTCCAGAAAAAAACCCCAAATAAAATGCTAATGCTTAAGAGAAAGGAAATGGGTCCCAGTAAACAAAAAGATCAACCAAATTTCACTTTAATAGCATATGTAGATTTAAAAATAATAAGGCCTAGGTGTATTCTTAGAAATTATGCACAGATTACTCATAGTTGAAACTACTGTTGTCCTAACAGTATATTAAAATTTGGGGGAGGAGGCTCTCTTTGTATTGGAGGAGGGGTTCCAGAGTATAAATATCATTCAAGTGATTTTGCCACATACCACACCAAAAAAACACCAGGTATCAAAACCAAACTAACTACCTGGTTACCTCTACAATGAGCTTATCAAATAGCACAAGAGAAAGAAAAAGGGAAATAAGGAGAGGGGAGGGGAGAGCGGGGAGGTATCGAGGTATGTGGCTCATTGGTATAAGCTTTTTGCCTTGCTGCATGAGACCCAAGCTCGATGTCTGGTACTGCCAAAAATGAGGAGAGGGACAGGGGAGGAGAGAAAGAGGAGAAAGGGAAAGAAAAAAAAAGCTCACAGGATAGTAAGCAAATCAGATCAGGGTCATCACAGGGGGCAGAGAATGGATACTGACGGAAAGTTCCAGAAAATGTGTCTGTGCTGCAGCAACAAACCCATTTCAAGGCACATTCAGCAAAAGGGGTTTTAGTGAAGGCAATTTCTAGGCACTGAAAAAAGAGAAATCAGAGATTTTGTATGGCAACTGAGTCCAAGAATAATCTTCACCTGGATATTATTAACGTGAGGTGGTGGTGAGTGAACAGAGTGTAATCTTTTGTGGGGAAGGACTGGAGGGGTGGGGAGGCCCACCTGGCAGCACTCAGGGGTAACTCAAGGCTCTACACTTAGAAATTACTTCTAGCAATGCTGGGGGGACTATATTGGATGCAGGGGGTGAAACCTGGATCGGTCACATGCAAGGCAAGCACCCTATCTGCTGAACTTTCGCTCTGGCCCAAGGAGAGAAATCTTTTGTATTCAGGGAAAAAGTTAAGACTTGGATAAACTGAAGAACACGAGTGCTCATAAAACCTAAATGGACAGGATATAAAGCTACCTTTGGACAACACATATTCATTGGATAAAATTTAAGGAACAACACTTGTAGCTTTTTTATATACCTCCATATTCTGTTATTGCTGTAGTCAACATTTTTAGCTTTGGAATCCTTAGTCTTTCACAAACAGCATAAAACTGTACGAATTAGGCTGAAGTTACAGAGATTATTCTCAATTGGGTTTAATCCCTCATCCTTTCCTATGATGACTTATATTCCATTTTATGTATATAATCTTTGGGGATCAGGCACCGTCTCCCCGGCAGTCCTGGCTCCTGGTGATATGGTGTTACTTGGGGCAACTAGGGCCATATCCAGCAGGGCTAGGGACCATGTGGGGTCAGGGGTCAACTCAAGTTCTCCACATGTAAGGTAGAGTACCACCCCGTGCACTATCTCCCTAGCCCTATGTCATCTTTCTTCAATGCTATTTTAATATGCACCCTTGCTGTCTATTTTTTCTTTTTAACTGCTAGTTGTTATTTCAGTCATATTTTCTTTGCAAATTTTTCTTTCATGAAGGACCTATCTATGAAATATACAGAAACTGAATCCAGTACTGAATTACCTGGATACTGCTCTAGGAATGCAAGGGCCACTGAAGAATAATTCTATTTAGATCATTCATCGTATCGACATATTTTTTTTAGAAAAACATGTAGCAAACATCAAGAAATGGCAAAGGGTATTTGAGAAAATTCACTATTCATTTCCTGGAGCTTGATATATAGTAAGGTAGGTAAAACAGTTGCTTTGTCCACAGATGAACCTGGTTTGATGCCAGGCAATGCATATAGTCTCCCCAAGCACCACCAGGAATGATCCCTGAATTCAGAGCCAAGAGTAAGCCTTGAGCATCACTGAGTGTGACCCAAGAAACAACAAAATTTATTTTCTGGGACTGAATGTTATTTTCAGAAATTAACAGAAAACATACTTAAACCGTGAACCAGCAGAGGTATTCACACACAGGTTTGAAATAAGATAGACATGTACTTGCTATTATCAGTATTCAACAACATTCTAGAAATGTAGATAAATCAGTAACTAAGAAGAGATAAATCATCTTAACACTAGGATTAATGTAAACAGCCAGTTAATGGTTAGGTAAAGATAAAATAAATATGAAAAAACAAAACAATCATCTAAATTATATGTGAGTAGTAAGCCACAAAGAAACATAATAGAGGGGGAAACACCCAAATCATAATTGCTACAAAATGATTAAAAAATAAGAGATGAATCTCAGAAATGTGAAGAATCTGGGACTGGAGTGATAGCATAGCAGGTAGGGCGTTTGCCTTACATGCGGCCGACCCGGGTTCGGTTCCCAGCATCTCATATGGTCCCCCAAGTACCACCAGGAGTAATTCCTGAGTGCATGAGCCAAGAGTAACCCCTGTGCATCGCTGGCTGTGAGCCAAAAAAAAAAGGGAATGTGAAGAATCCATGTTTATTGGAAGTATGGTAAATAATAAAGATATTTCATAAATGTGGTGAGAAGATGGAACAAGGATGATGTTTAGGGCAATGAAACTATTTCATAAAATACTGTAAGATACACTTTAATTTTAATTTTTCAAAACATATAACAAGAATGTTACAATACAAAGAGTGAAGTCTAGGGGCTGGAGCCATAGCACAGCAGGTAGGGTGTTTGCCTTGTATGCTGCCGACCCGGGTTCAATTCCCAGCATCCCATATGGTCCCCTGAGCACCACCGGGAGTAATTCCTGAGTGCAGAGCCAGGAGTAACCCCTGTGCATGGTCAGGTGCGACCCAAAAAGCAAAAAAAAAAAAGTGAACTCTAATGTAAGGCATAACTCCACTGGCTTGTCTTTTTTAACAAATATACCAAACTATGTTAGTCAGAGCACTCTATTCCTCTCTGTATGGAAGGGGAGAAGTACAGACTCTGCTCAATTCTCCTGGAAACCTAAAACTGCTCTGAAAACTGAGTCTATTAATATTCAGAATGTGGGGGCTGGAGCAATAGTACAGCGGGTAGGGTGATTGCCTTGCATGCAGCCAACACAGATTTGACTCCCAGCATTCCATATGGTCCTCCGAGCACCGCCAGGAGTAATTCCTGAATGCATGAGCCAGGAGGAACCCCTGTGCAATGCCGGCTGTGACCCAAAAAGCAAATAAATAAATAAATAATATTCAAAAGATGATAGGGCCTTTGCCTTGCACGCGACCAATGTGTCCGACCTGAGTTCGATTTCTCCTCCCCTCTTGGAGAGCCCGGCAAGCTACCGAGAGTATCTCGCCCGTACAGCAGTGCCTGGCAAGCTACCCGTGATGTATTCAATACGCCAAACACAGTAACAAGTCTCACCATGGAGACGTTACTGGGCCCACTTGAGCAAACTGATGAACAACGGGAGGACAGTGCTACAGTGCTACATTCAAAACGTGAGGAGGTGTCAGATAATTAGAAAATGGT